GGCCTGTATTCATACAACACACCACCCCAAGGGGGGGCCTGTATTCATACAACACAGCACCCCCAGAGGCCTATATTCATACAACACAGTACCCTCAGGGACCAATATTCATACAACACAGCACCTCAGGGACCAATATTCATACAACAGCACCTCAGGGACCAATATTCATACAACACAGCCCCCTCAGTGACCAATATTCATACAACACAGCACCTCAGGGACCTATATTCATACAACACAGCACCTCAGGGACCAATATTCATACAACACAGCACCTCAGGGACCAATATTCATACAACACAGCACCCTCAGGGACCAATATTCATACACCACCACCTCAGGGACCAATATTTATGCAACACAGCACCCTCAGGGACCAATATTCATACAACACAGTACCTCAGGGACCAATATTCATACACCACCACCTCAGGGACCAATATTTATGCAACACAGCACCCTCAGGGACCAATATTCATACACCACCACCTCAGGGACCAATATTTATGCAACACAGCACCCTCAGGGACCAATATTCATACAACACAGCACCCTCAGGGACCAATATTCATACAACACACAGCACCTCAGGGACCAATATTCATACAACACAGCACCCTCAGGGACCAATATTCATACACCACCACCTCAGGGACCAATATTTATGCAACACAGCACCCTCAGGGACCAATATTCATACAACACAGCACCCTCAGGGACCAATATTCATACAACACAGCACCTCAGGGACCAATATTCATACAACACAGCACCCTCAGTGATCAATATTCATACAACACAGCACCTCAGGGACCTATATTCATACAACACAGCACCCTCAGGGACCAATATTCATACAACACAGCACCTCAGGGACCAATATTCATACAACACAGCACCCTCAGGGACCAATATTCATACAACACAGCACCCTCAGGGACCAATATTCATACAACACAACACCCTCAGGGGACCAATATTCATACAACACAACACCCTCAGGGGACCAATATTCATACAACACAACACCCTCAGGGGACCAATATTCATACAACACAACACCCTCAGGGGACCAATATTCATACAACACAACACCCTCAGGGGACCAATATTCATACAACACAGCACCCTCAGGGGACCAATATTCATACAACACAACACCCTCAGGGGACCAATATTCATACAACACAGCCCCCTCAGTGACCAATATTCATACAACACAGCACCTCAGGGACCTATATTCATACAACACAGCCCCCTCAGTGACCAATATTCATACAACACAGCACCCTCAGGGACCAATATTCATACAACACAGCACCCTCAGGGACCAATATTCATACACCACCACCTCAGGGACCAATATTTATGCAACACAGCACCCTCAGGGACCAATATTCATACAACACAGCACCCCAGGGACCTATATTCATACAACACAGCACCTCAGGGACCTATATTCATACAACACAGCACCCCAGGGGCCTATATTCATACAACACAGCACCCCAGGGACCTATATTCATACAACACAGCACCTCAGGGACCTATATTCATACAACACAGCACCTCAGGGACCTATATTCATACAACACAGCACCTCAGGGACCTATATTCATACAACACAGCACCCCAGGGGCCAATATTCATACAACACAGCACCTCAGGGGCCTATATTCATACAACACAGCACCCTCAGGGACCTATATTCATACAACACAGCACCCCAGGGACCTATATTCATACAACACAGCACCTCAGGGTGCTGTTATTAATTTCCACCTATTGGTAATGTCCATTAATAATAGGTCTATTTTATGCAGTAAAAAGCATAAAACAGACCTATTATTAAAAATTTGTTTTATCATAAACATTTAGCTAAAGTAACATTTGTTGTTCCTAAGATATAAAAATGAGACCCTTCAATATTTCATTTACTCAGAAATATTTATGAATACTGTATTGTCATAATGTTGTATGACAGAGTTCTGTGAAATAGATAGGGTATTGACTAATATGAAGCTAATAAAATCACAACTAACTTTAAGGTTAAAGATAAAATACTTTTGTAACACTGATAAGGCAGTGTTATTTTTTTTTATTAACAGGCTTAGGTATACACAGCAATGTGCTGCTACCCTATTCTATATGAAAAATTACACAGTGTAGATCAAAAACTAGCCATAGATTCAACTAATATTCCCACCTCACAGGATGGTTAGTGATACAAGGAATTAGGGGAGACAATGCCAGCCTCAATACAACAAAAAATCAACTATAAAAAAATCAGGAGAACAGAAGATGTAACCTGATCTATTAGCCCCCACTAGCAAAATCTGGGCACAGCACAAGAATATCTTCCAATATTCCTGAGTGTATGAAGTACAGTAATTACAGAGGTCAAAGCCCCTCATACCATTAGGTCTGAAGGCACTTATAACAGGGCAATCACAGATACTGTATAGTGTTGGAGAGTATGTTCTTCTGTGGTCTGCTGGGACCAATAAATAATATCAAAACAATGCTAATTACTATTACTCATTAGGAAAGGTTCAATATTTATTGTCTAGATAAAAGTTAGAAAGCTTTTGGTCATCATTACCTAAATAAAAATGACTTTACAACCAATAACCACCAACAAACAAGACCAGTTTACACAAACTAAAGACGCCGGTCATTATTTCCTGCCTAATAATTTACAAGACATTTTTTTCCCCCTTCATACATTAGTAGTCTAATCATTGAGACATATGACAATGGCTTTCATTGATGAATCATGGATTTACTATAGAGTAATAGAATATTTTCTTGTAATATAATATGGCATTAAGAAACAATTAACGACCCCCCCAAAAAAAAAAATTGACCTTTAGCATATCTTCGTCAATAGAGCTGATGTACAATTGTCAATAGAATATACAATTGTCAATAGAATGTACAATTGTCATATTACATGAGTAACATTTAATATTTTTTTAATTTTTTTTTTGTATAAATCATTAGCGGGTGGAGGCGGGGAGAAGGACTGCAGCAAGCCAAGGTGACAGCAAGGTGAAGCAGCAGTGTGTCTGTGCGCATGAGCAGCACTAAAATCATCTATGACCATTCATGCAGCTGGGAACGGACCCAACACAGACACAAGGACAGTATTTACCGTATCGTTGGCAGAGTTATCCGTGGAAGAATTTGCCATGCTCACCCAGCACCTAGGAGGAACAAAACTATTCCTTTTTGAACACTGTGGCACTTCCTCGGAGAATTCGAGCCGAGATAAACAATCCAATTTCTCTGGAAATGTTGCTGTTGTTCAATAAAATATTAAATAATTGTGAACGTTTGTTTCTGAAATATATTAAAATTTATAGTGATGCTTTAAAAAGTATCAAACATATAAAACGAAAGCCTTTAGCACACTAGAAACGATGCTCTTTTGTTTTTTTACCTTATGATCACTAAGATTTTAAAGTATATGAATTATGCAATACGTATTGTGCTCACAATTATTGATTTATCTTATCAATATAGTATTCTAACAGTTTTGTTAAACATGTAATGCTTGGAGGACCTTGTGTCGACCAACACCCCTTCTGAGACACAGGTTCAGGTAGAACTAACCGGCGCAGAGAATATTACTGGAACCCAGTGTCGGCTGCCATCCAAAGCTGCTTTCTCATTGGTCAACGGAGTTCCTAAAGTGCCACAGGATATTTTTTGGAGAAATATTTAAGTAGTATATATACTTCTAATTCAAAAGCATCTCTAACTCTGATAATTGCTGATCATTTTATTAATGTAAATATTACAAGTTTGTTGCCATATTATGCCTTTAAGTTATTAAATCTCTGCATTGCCGTAATCATCCTGTCAACACGTGAACAGAATGAATCCGCTGGCTGCAAACTGGCAACTTATCACAGCTGATTCGAGTCACGTGATTCAGTTACACGTGACGCAATACAGTACTGTATTCAGTTGTGCTCGTCATGCATGTAAAGGGGTACGGGGGTACACTTTAATTGCCAAAGTCTCATCTATATTCTGAACGGTAAAATGGTCGTTTACGAAAAAGGTCGTCTTGCTTATAACAGATCTTCGCGCAAATGAGAAAATACAAAAAAATATATTATATATATATTTAAACAGAATCGTTTGAGAGAAAATAGGTTCAATTAATGTTCATTTACAGCGTTATGATAATAAACATAAAACGGTAAATGAACGGTCTGTAACTGATGGTTACTGGTTCTTTACTAATAGCTTAATGGGGCGAACAATCACACCTGACTGGGAGGTCAATCACACACCTGACTGGGAGATCAATCACACACCTGACTGGGAGATCAATCACACACCTGACTGGGAGATCAATCACACACCTGACTGGGAGATCAATCACACACCTGACTGGGAGATCAATCACACACCTGACTGGGAGATCAATCACACACCTGACTGGAAGATCAATCACACCTGACTGGGAGATCAATCACACCTTATTCCTGTGATATTCCTGTGCGGGCCCTAAGCCTCTGGCTGACCCACTAAGTGTTGTTTGTTTCTGTTTTACTTATGCGAAGTATGAGTTGTTCAACTCACTATAACAGCGTACGACTCACCACAACAGCGTACGACTCACCATAACAGCGTACGACTCACCATAACAGCGTACGACTCACCATAACAGCGTACGACTCACCATAACAGCGTACGACTCACTATAACAGCGTACGACTCACCATAACAGCGTACGACTCACTATAACAGCGTACGACTCACCACAACAGCGTACGACTCACTATAACAGCGTACGACTCACCACAACAGCGTACGACTCACTATAACAGCGTACGACTCACCACAACAGCGTACGACTCATTATAACAGGGTACAACTTACCACACCTGGTTGATGTCTCAACCAGTGAGACATCATCCCCCGCGAACCTTCTTCATACGAGGTCATGAAGTGAGTGACCTGCCTCCCAAGCACCAGGTTGGTCACCAGGTGATCTCCTGGTGGTCACTCGGTGTTCCACTCGGTGTTCCACTCGGTGTTCCACTCGGTGAACAAACTAGGTGTGGGGTCTTCTTCATGGTGACCCGCACGTGAATGTCGAGCCATTCTACCCGTCGTACGACATACGAGGAAATCAGGGCCGAACTACGGATTATATCGGCTGTCTTAGCAGCGGTCTTTTCGGCTGCAGCCTTTTCGGCTGCGGCCTTTTCGGCTGCGGCCTTTTCAGCTGCGGCCTTTTCGGCTGCGGCCTTTTCGACTGCGGCCTTTTCGGCTGCGGCCTTTTCAGCAGCAACTGCGGCCTTTTCAGCAGCAACTGCGGCCTTTTCGGCAGCGGCAACGGCCTTTTCAGCTGCAGCCTTTTCGGCAGCAGCCTTTTCGGCAGCAGCTGCAGCCTTTTCGGCAGCAGCTGCAGCCTTTTCAGCAACAGCTTTTTCAGCAGCAGCCGTGGCCTTTTCTGCTGCGGCCTTTTCTACTGCGGCCTTTTCGGCTGCGAACTTTTCAGCAGCGGCCTTTTCAGCAGCAGCTATGGCCTTATCAGCTGCGGCCTTTTCGGCAGCGGCATTTTCAGCAGCGGCCTTTTCAGCAGCAGCTGCAGCCTTTTCCACAGCGGACTTTTCCGCTGCTGTCTTTTCGACAAAGGCCTTTTCTGCAGCGGCTTTTTCGGCTGCGGCCTTTTCGGCAGCGGCCTTTCCGGCAGCGGCTTTTTCAGCAGCAGCTGCTGCCTTTTTGGCAGCAGCCTTTTCGGTTGCGGCCTTTTCGTTTACGGCCTTTTCAGCTGCAGCCTTTTCGGCAGTGGCCTCTTCGGCAGCGGCCTTTTCGGCAGCAGCTTTTTCAGCAGCATCTGCGGCCTTTTTGGCAGTGGCCTTTTCGGCTGTGACCTTTTCGGCTGCGGCCTTTTCGGCAGCAGCTGTGGCCTTTTCGGCTGCTGCTTTTTCAGCTGCAGCTTTTTCGGAAGCGGCCTTTACGATTGCGGCTTTTTCGGCTGCAGCTTTTTCGGCTGCGGCCAATCCCGTTGCGACTTTTTCGGCTGCGTCCTTTTCGGCTGCGGCCTTTTCGGCAGCGGCTTTTTCGGCTGCTGCTTTTTCGGCAGAGGCCTTTTCGGCAGCAGCCTTTTCGGCTGCGATCTTTTCAGCAGCGGCCTTTTCCGCAGAAGCTGCGTTCTTTTCAGCTGCGGCCTTTTCTGCAGCTTCCTTTTCCGCAACGGCCATTTCGGCAACGGCCTTTTCGGCAACGGCCTTTTCGGCTGCGGCCTTTTCAGCTGCGGCCTTTTCGGCTGCGGCATTTTCAGCAGCAGCTGCGGCCTTTTGGGCAGCGGCCTTTTCAGCTGAGGCCTTTTCACTTACGGCCTTTTCGGCTGCGGCTTTTTCGGCAGCGGCCTTTTCGGCAGCGGCCTTTTCGGCTACGGCCTTTTCAGCAGCAGCTGCGGCCTTTTCAGCTGCGGCCTTTTCGGCTACGGCCTTTTCCGCTGCGGTCTTTTCGGCAGCGGCCTTTTCGACAGCAACTACGGCCTTTTCGGCTGCGGCTTTTTCGGCAGTGGCCTTTTCGGTTGCGGCCTTTTCGGCTGCGGCTTTTTCGGCAACAGCCTTTTCAGCTGCGGCCTTTTCAGCAGCAGCCTTTTCAGCTGAGGCCTTTTCGGCAGCGGCCTTTTCTGCTGCAGCCTTTTCGGCAGCCGCTTTTTCGGCAACCGACTTTTCAGCTGCGGCCTTTTCAGCAGCGACCTTTTCTGCAGAAGCTGCAGCCTTTTCAGCTGCAACCTTTTCGGCAGCGACCTTTTCGGCAGCTACTATTTCAGTAGCGGCCTTTTCGGCTGCGGCCTTTTCGGCTGCGGCTTCTTCGGCAGCGGTCTTTTTGGCTGCGGCCTTTTCAGCAGCAGCTACAGCCTTTTCAGCTGCGACCTTTTCGGCAGCGGCTTTTTCAGCTGCGGCCTTTTTGGCAGCGGTCGTTTCCTCTGTTGCTTTTTCGGCAGCGGCCTTTTCGGCAGCGGCCTTTTCAGCAGCAGCTCTGGCCTTTTCAACTGCGTCTCTTTCGGCAGTGGCCTTATCGGTTGCGACCTTTTCGGCAGCGGCCTTTTCGGCAGCGGCCTTTTCAGCAGCAGCTGCGGCCTTTTCAGCTGTGGCCTTTTCGGCAGCGGCCTTTTCAGCAGCGGCTTTCTCAACAGCAGCTGCGGCCTTTTCAGCAGCGGCCTTTTCGGTAGCGGCCTTTTCGGCTGTGAGCTTTTCGGCAGCGGCCTTTTCGGCAGCGGCCTTTTCGACAGCTGCCCTTTCAGCAGCAGCTGCGGCCTTTTCGGCTGTGGCTTTTTCGACAGCGGCCTTTTCAACTACGGCCTTTTCGGCTGCGGCCTTTTCGGCTGAAGCCTTTTCGGCTGCAGCCTTTTCGGCAGCGGCCTTTTCAGCAGCAGCTACGGCCTTTTCGATTGCGACCTTTTCGGCAGCGGCCTTTTCAGCAGCAGCTGCGGCCTTTTTAGCACCCGCCATTTCAACCCGCACGTGTATGTCTAGACATTCTATACGTCGTACGACATACGAGGAAATCGTATCCGAAGTACGGACTATGGCTGTCTTATCAGCGGCCTTTTCGGCAGCAGCTATGGCTTTTTCAGCAGCAACAGCGGCCTTTTCAGCTCCGGCCTTTCTGGCAGCGGCTTCGGCCATTTCAGCTACGACGTTTTCGGCTGCGGCCTTTTTGGCTACGGCGTTTTCAGCTGCGGCCTCTTCGATAGCAGCTGTAACCTTTTCAGCTGCGGCCTTTTCGATAGCGGCCTTTTCAGCAGCGGCTTCGGCCTTTTCAGCTGCTGCCTTTGCGACAGCGGCCTTTTCGGCAGCGACCTTTTCCGCAGCGGTCTTTTCAGCAGCGGCCTTTTCAGCAGCAGTTGCGGCTTTTTCAGCAGCGGTCTTTTCAGCTGCGGCTTTTTCGGCTGCGGCCTTTTCGACTACAGTTTTTTCGGCTGCGACCTTTTCAGCAGCGGCCTTTTCAGCAGCAGCTTTGGCCTTTACAGCTGCGGCCTTTTCGGCAACGGCTTTTTCGATAGCGGCCTTTTCAGCAGCAGCTGCGGCCTTTTCCGCTGCAGACTTGTTTGCTGCGGTTTTTTCGGCAACCGCCTTTTCGGCAGCGGCCTTTTCGGCAGCGGCCTTTTCGGCTGCGGCTTTTTCGGCTGCAGCCTTTTCAGCAGCAGCTGCGGCCTTTATGGCAGCGGCCTTTTCGGCTGCGGCCTTTTCGCTTACGGCCTTTTCGGCTGTAGCCTTTTCGGCAGCGGCCTTTCCGGCAGCGGCCTTTTCAGCAGCGGCCTTTTCAGCAGCATCTGTGGCCTTTTCGACAGCAGCCTTTTCGGTTGCAGCCTTTTCAGCAACGGCCTTTTCGGCATTGGCCTTTTTGATTGCGGCTTTTTCGGCAGCATCTACGGCCTTTTCGACTGCAGCTTTTTCGGCAGCGGCCTTTTCTCTTGCGGCGTTGTCGGCAGCGGCCTTTTCTCTTGCGGCGTTGTCGGCAGCGGCCTTTTCGAGTGCGGCGTTTTCAGCAGCGGTTTTTTCGTCGGCAGCCTTTTCGTCGGCGGCCTTTTCGGCTGCGGTCTTTTCAGCAGCAGCCCTTACAGCAGAAGATGCGGCCTTTTCAGCTGCAGCCAATGTGGCAGCGGCCTTTTCTGCAGCGGCATTTTCTGCAACGACCATTTCAGCAACGACCTTTTCAGTGGCGGTCTTTTCGGCTGCGGCCTTTTCGGCAGCGGCATTTTCGACTGCGGCCTTTTCAGCAGCAGCTGCGGCCTTTTTGTCAGCGGCATTTTCGATTGCTGCCTTTTCGGCTAAGTCCTTTTCAGCTGCAGCTTTTTCGGCAGAGGCCTTTTCTGCAGCTGCTTTTTCGGCAGCGGCCTTTTCAGCAGCAGCGGTGGCCCTTTCGGTAGCGGCCTTTTCGGCTGCAGTCTTTTCGGCAGCGGCCTTTTCGGCTGCGGCCTTTTCGTCAGCAGCTACAGCTTTTTCGACCGAGGCTTTTTCGACAGCGGCCTTTTCGGCTGCTGCCTTTTCGATAACGTACATGTCGGCAGCGTTTTTTTCGGCAGCGGCCTTTTTGGCTGCAGATTTTTCGGCAGCGGCCATTTCGGCTGCGGCCATTTCGGCTGCGGCCTTTTCGGCAACCACCTGTTCAGCTGCGGCTTTTTCAGCAGCGGCCTTTTCAGCAGAAGCTGTGGCCATTTCAGCTGCGGCCTTATATGCAGAGGCCTTTTCGGCAGCGGCCTTTTCGGCAGCTGCCATTTCGGTAACGGCCTTCTCGGCTGCGGCCTTTTCGGCTGCGGCCTTTTCGGCAGCGGCCTTTTCGGCTGCGGCCATTTCAGCGGCAGCTAAGGCTTTTTCAGCTGCGTCCTTTTCGGCAGAGGTCTTATCGGCTGCGGCCTTTTCCGCAGCAGCCGTTTGGGCTGCGGCCATTTCGGCAGCGGCCTTTTCGGCTACGGCCATTTCAGCAGCAGCTAAGGCCTTTTCAGCTGCGTCCTTTTCGGCAGCGGTCTTATCGGCTACGGCCTTTTCGGCTGCGGCTTTTTCGGCAGTGGCCATTTGAGCAGCTGCTGCGGCCTTTTCAGCAATGGCTTTTCCGGCAGCGGCCTTTTCAGAAGCGGCCTTTTCAGCAGCAATTGCGGCCTTTTCGACAGCGGCCTTTTCGTCGGCGGTCTTTTCGGCTATGACCTTTTCGGCAGTGGCCTTTTCGGCAGCGGCCTTTTCGACAGCGGCCTTTTCAGCAGCCGCTGCAGCCTTTTCAGCAGCAGTCATTTCAGAAAGGGGCGAGACTACTTTACCCCTGAGAGAGGGGGAAGCCTTGATGACGTAGGTGACCGCGTCAGGGAGACACTGGAGGTAGAAGCCGCGGGAGAGGACGAGGCAGGTCACGTGACCCAGGTCAACCTGGAGCTCCCCTGTGGCCACGGCCCCGACCTGGACCCCCGTGGCCAGCACCCTCATGGCCGGCTGGGCCACCCCCTCCATGGCCCCTTCCTCCCTCCCTGCCCACGCCCACGCCGCCTGTTCCCTCTCAACCCACTCACTAAACACCTCACCTTCGGCGGGGGAATTTTCCCGCCAATTTGGGCAGACCATGACGACGTGCGTGACGTTGTCGGGGAGAGACTGGAGGTAGTAGCCCTGGGGCACGACCAGGCACGTCACGTGACCCAGGGTGACGTGCAGCTGCCCGAAGGCCGCGGCCTCCTGCTGCACCAATCCTTCAGTAAGCACCTTCAGAAGGGGCTGAGCCAGGGAGCCCCAGGCCTGCCACGGCCTCTCCATGTGGCGGAGCTCCATGTCGTGCACGGCAGGGGTCTGGGCCACCAGGACCCCGGCCTCCACCAGGGCATAGTACACTCGCAGGGTGATGCCGGTTATCTTCAGGGGCCCTGCGCCCTTCAGCAGCTGCGTCAGTAGGTTCTCCACGGCCATCTGGGCCTCCTGTAGCTCTTCCTCTGTGAAGGTCGTCCTCAGGATGGACAACATTGCCTCTCTGTTGTCGCTGGTGCGTCCTGTCTCCTGCTCCTCCTCGTGACTTAGAGAACTGTGGCGGCTGGTGCTATTCATAGTTACCCTCAGTTAATAACAAAGAATGTATTTTTGATTTGTGATAAATCTAATGAATGTTGAGCCGAAGGTAGTCAAAAGAAAAGTCAGATGGTGAGTGGCAGGTGTTTCGTGACGCCACACCTGCTGATGCAGGTATTCGAGGGCCACATGTATAGTTGATATGGGGCCACGACGGCACAAGTGAAGGTACCATTATGCTGCCATTTTGCTAGAATTTACCTACTTAAAATTATCTATTAGATTATGGACCTGCCGGAAACGCTATACGTGCTAGTGGCTTTACAAGAATGTAAAAACCTCAATGCTATGGACTCTCATAAACCCAATGTACCTTCTTGTAAATAGATAAATGAATAATTTATGTCCAGATGCCCCTTTGTAGGATAACAGAGCCGTGTGGCTACATACACCTGTCGCCGTAAAGCTACTGTGCCTTGCAGCAGGTAAATACACTGTTAAGCGCATGTTTGGTGAGCCATTGGAGCCACCGAGGCGAGCGGAGGCTCGCCTCACAGACAACCAGAAAAGGAAGACGATCGAACCCAGACAATATGGCGCTGGCCGTCCCGCGAACTTGTGATGTTCCAACACAGTCGCAGCTGAACGGCATACTCAAGCGGGTACCTCCTAGACTCTAGCCCAATCAAGAACAAATAACATGTTGCAGAGACCTTTGCGGAAAAAGGTCTCCTGTTCCGCGGAGCAAATGCAAACCTCCATCAAATACAACCCTGCCCCAAAGGGCACAACAGGAGGCCATCAAGACCCGCCATCTTCCAGCGCCTAAGCCACCAAGCCAGAGTTGGACACAGTTTTCCAGCTCGAAGATCCAACCGGACAACGGAATCTATAACCTTTAATATGACCCGCAGGAACAAGAGCGCCGTGCGTTGTACTGTTCCTGCCTGTGGAAAAGGAATATCTGACGGCGGTATACAAGCAGAGCATTGGTTTCCAGACTTCTGTTAGAGTTAAGTGCATAAAACTCCTAGCTAAAACTCAACTAGGAGTCTTAGATACACCTAGCAGTACTGTACTGCTAGGGTACTAGCAGGTGAGGGATTGGGGGTTCCTCGGTGAGGAATTGTGGGTCTCGGGGTGAGGGTTTGTGGGTCCCGGAGGTAAGAGACTGTTGGTCCCGGGGTGAGGGATTATAGGTCCCGGGAGTAAGAAATTGTGGGGTCCCGGGATGAGGGATTCTGGGTTCCGGAGGTGAGGGATTGTGGATTCCGGGAGTTAGGGATTGTGGGTCCCGAGGTGAGGAGTTAGCAGTAAATAGGCTCCCAGGAGTTAGTTTATGTTTTGTTTTGAGTAAAGAGGTTGGAGAGGTGCAGGTGAAGGGAAAATTTGGGAAATAGGAAATATAATGTGAGTTATGACAACAGGCGGGCTGTCCGCCTTGCTGACACGATGTGTGGGTGTTGGCAGCTAAGCTAAGCTTGCTCTAAGCTTGACATTAGAATTTTGTTCAGTGTCAGGGTAGTTAACAAATGAAACGCAATAGGAAGTGATGTGGTGGCAGACTCCATACACAATTTTAGATGTAGGTATAATAGAGGCAAATAGGCTCAGGAACATGTACGCAGTAAACTTACAGTTGAGAGCCGGGACCAAAGAGCCAAATCTCAACCCCCGCAAGCACAACTAAGTGAATACACATGAGAACTAAACCACACACCAGAAGATGAGGAGACGACGACGTTTCGGTCCGTCCTGGACCATTATCAAGTCGATTGTCTTGATAATGGTCCAAGATGGACCGAAACGTCGTCGTCTCCTCGCCTGCTGGTGTGTGGTTTGATCATCTTCAATCACGTTATTGTGACTCGTCGTCTGCATAAGTCGTTGCAACCCGTTCTCGCACTTGCTAACAGTCAATATTGGCTTATTTAATAAGTGCATTTGTGACATACTAATTGATTGGGAATATTTTAGTTTACCTTGAAAAGCTTCATAGAAAACACTGACCTCACCTAACCTTCTTAGTATGTTAAGATAAGCATCTTATTGCTTCTTATTATAATTGTAATTAAGAAGCAATAAGTGAGCACACATATTTTGATGCTGTTTAAGCTTGAGTCCCGGCATTCTGCCTACATGTGCGTGTCGGGTAGGACGGTTGCCAGGAATAACTGATCGGCTTAGGTTCTGTTTTTGCAACATGTATTATTTGGACCTTTTATGTGTTGGTACTTATTTTCCATTTCTTCAGTGTTATTTATGAATTGAATGGTTTTGTTGGCCAGTAACGACTTTGATTGTCCCCACGATTGATGAAGTAAGGGAGTGCACCCAGAGAGGTGAGGGAGGGCGCCCAGAGAGGTGAGGGTGAGGCGCACGCCCAGAGGGGTGAGGGAGGGGCGCGCGCCCAGAGAGGTGAGGGAGGGGCGCACGCCCAGAGAGGTGAGGGAGGGGCGCGCGCCCAGAGAGGTGAGGGAGAGGCGCGCGCCCAGAGAGGTGAGGGATGGGCGCGCGCCCAGAGAGGTGAGGGAGGGGCGCGCGCCCAGAGAGGTGAGGGAGGGGCGCGCGCCCAGAGAGGTGAGGGAGGGGCGCGCGCCCAGAGAGGTGAGGGAGGGGCGCGCGCCCAGAGAGGTGAGGGAGGGGCGCGCGCCCAGAGAGGTGAGGGAGGGGCGCGCGCCCAGAGAGGTGAGGGAGGGGCGCGCGCCCAGAGAGGTGAGGGAGGGGCGCACGCCCAGAGAGGTGAGGGAGGGGCGCGCGCCCAGAGAGGTGAGGGAGGGGCGCGCGCCCAGAGAGGTGAGGGAGGGGCGCGCGCCCAGAGAGGTGAGGGAGAGGCGCGCGCCCAGAGAGGTGAGAAAGGGGCGCGCGCCCAGAGAGGTGAGGGAGGGGCGCGCGCCCAGAGAGGTGAGGGAGGGGCGCGCGCCCAGAGAGGTGCGGGAGGGGCGCGCGCCCAGAGAGGTGAGGGAGGGGCGCACGCCCAGAGAGGTGAGGGAGGGGCGCGCGCCCAGAGAGGTGAGGGAGGGGCGCGCGCCCAGAGAGGTGAGGGAGGGGCGCACGCCCAGAGAGGTGAGGGAGGGGCGCACGCCCAGAGGGGTGAGGGGGGGGAGGGGCGCGCCCCCAGATGGGTGAGGGTGAGGCGCGCCCCCCAGAGGTGGTGAGGGAGGGGCGCGGCCCCAGAGGGGTGAGGGAGGGACGCGCCCCCAGAGGGGGTAACAGAGAGGGGAGGAGGCGCAAGCTACCCCGGGCAGTGATGGTGCTCGAAGCCTGACGCTCAAGGAGATATTTTCCGGTTGACAGCAAGATGTGAGGAGTGAGGTGCTGTGGGGGAAGAGTTAGGCCAGCTGGGGGAGAGTTATGAGCCCAACACCTTCCCACAGGTGTGGCCACACCTGGCTTTAGTGCTCAACTGCCAATTTAGCAACTCAGAACGAAGTGTCCATGTAGCACGGGCTATGGTGAGCCCGTGATTACACTCGAGTATCAGAGCCATTATATAGATCCAGGACCTTTCTTGTTTGCATTGGAGTCGTGAAATTAACTCCTGGTGTGAGGTGTTTCCCCTAGCATTGTTGCGCATGATTCATCTAGGAGAGATGCCTTATTGGTAGAGCTAGGAGGTATCTGGACAAGTCGTCCCATGTGTGTAATTCGCTGGTTATGGTCAAGTTATACTCAAGACGATTGGTCAAAGCTCGTTTCCTGTGTCTAAATGTTATATATTGTTTGGTGAGAATTTATTAACTTAGGCTATGTTAGGTTAGATTAGTTAGGTTAAGTTAGATAGGTTTTACAAGTAGTTGGCAAACCGTCGTGTACGAATGTCATTTGTATCCGGTTGTACATTATATTAGCTAAGGTTGGGCTTGTTTGGATAAAGTTAGGTTGGGGTGAGTTAGGTTAGGTTTCCGAATCAGGTGGTGAATTGTTTTGAGTATGCATTGTGCATGTGTATTTATTATTTCCCGTGGCGTAGTGGTAAAACACTCGCCTGGCGCTTCGTGAGTGCTTTGGCCTGGGTTCGTTTCCATGTCGGGAGAATTGACTGGGCGCCAAGCCTTAACTATAGCCTCTGTTCACCCAGCAGTGAATGGGCACCTGGTTGTTAAATGATTTGGCGGGTCATATTCCGGGGAAAAAATTTGGATTAACGACCTGCATGAAACGCTGTGCTTGCTAGTAGTTTTACAAGAATGTATGGACTCTTGCATATATAAATAAAAAATACAGTAAAAAAAATATGATGGGACTTGTATCCTAACTCGCCACGTTCAATAGGTTACAAGTCACATTGTACACAGGTTGGTTCGCTTGTGGATTATAGCACCCACCTACCTTTACTGAACCCAATTCAATCCAGTTCAGTCGAGCCTAACACAGCCTAACCTAATCCATCCTAACCAAATGAAGTAGTTTTGAGAATCAAAAAAATGAGCTTTGTCAAACTATCTTGAGTTCAAGTTGTCCATTTGACCAATTTGATTACTCCATACCCAAGATGATTCACCAATGGATTTTTAAACCTAACCTTCCAAACTCAACTTGCCCTAGCCTAAGCTAATCTAACTTAACCCATCCTATTGTAGCATAAGCTAATCTAACTTAACCCATCCTATTGTAGCATAAGCTAATCTAACTTAACCCATCCTATTGTAGCATAAGCTAATCTAACTTAACCCATCCTATTGTAGCATAAGCTAATCTAACTTAACCCATCCTATTGTAGCATAAGCTAATCAAACCTAATGATAAAGTTATAACAATTAGAAATTAGATTTGTTGAAATGCTTGTGTACGATTTGACCTGTCCGCTTCCAGTCAACCACTCTGATTCATCAAAGTGGTTGAATGTACTGATGAACCATTACATTCATCAGTACATATTTGTACTGATGAATGTACCCCGAAACCAACAACAAGTAGACAACAGGCATAAACAATTATATCTCCCTATGAATAATATGCAAAGCTTTGTCGAAGTGACTAAAAATCCTTCATGCTACCGAAATGTATATTTAGGAGAATATGCACATTACATTTAACGGCTAGTATAATTTATTGGATCATATAAGCTCGTATTTCCAGGGGAAATGCTAGCAAATTGGTCAAGATAGTGGTGGATGGGGCTGGGATAGTTGTAGGTGGGGCTAGGATAGTGTTATTTTGAGAGGATTTCAGGGCTTAGCGTCCCCCGCGGCCCGGTCCTTGACCAGGCCTCCTTTCAGTAACATATCCCCAGGAAGCAGCCCGTAGCAGCTGTCTAACTCCCAGGTACCTATTTACTGCTAGGTGAACAAGGACATCAGGGTGAAAGAAACTGCCCATTTGTTTCCGCCTCCACCGGGGATCAAACCCGGAACCTCAGGACTACAAACCCCGAGCGTTGTTCACTCAGCTGTCAGGCCCCTTGTAGGTATAATATAATGTAGGTACAACATAATGTAATACACAGGTTGTCATAATTAGAAAAAACTCCAAGAGGATGAAGAATGTGACAAAACCACTGGAAATATTCAGATACAATATTAATGATAAATATAAAGAAATTGGCACAACCAACATAGCTTTATTTCTGAAACCACAAAGTTACTCACACACTTACATATACTCAGTTACTGTTTAGCTGATCTCTCACCCTGTCAGAAGAAAATGTATATATGTTGTTTAGCATTGTAAATGTGTGGCCACGTCTGTGGTAAAAAAAAATACTCAAAGAACTTTATTGTAATTATCCATAATGTTTCAGAAATAGCAAAATAATGGATCGTGATCTACCAAAGGATGAGTCTGACTGTAATGGATTGTGTACTGATAGAATGGAGGCTGTGGAAGAGCAGTCTCAAGTCCCACCATCATTGGCTGCTATAATGTCTACGATATATGCACACCAGCATAATATTCAGCAGATTGAAGTAAAACTTAAAGAACTGCTGTAAGTAGATTTCCTAAATACAGTAAATACATAGCACTACAGTATTTGTATTTGTATTTTGATAGCTTTTGCACTGTAATGTTTCAAACTCTAAGAAAAATAAATTGCTTAAAAATAGTTAAAGATTATAATATAAATTTAATATGAAAAGTACATGAATACAAAGCAGCAATTAAGTTGTTTATTGTTGTGTATAGAGTTCATGCAAATCTATCCTTACATTATTTTTATTTTGGTTCCCGACTCCAAACTGTGTACCTGGAACTGTGTTGACCGAATTAACGGAGATTAGTTGTTGAAAAGCCCTGTCCCTCTTTGTAGGGACATGCTTGGATGGTCCTTATAATAAATTTCAGAGACTTATAACAATAGTTTTTTACACCAAAAACTGGAAAATATGAGAATAGAATAAATTTGTATAACAGTTGATTATATTTCAGACAGAATCAACAAGTTCTAACCGAAGGACTTCGAGGTGAAAATGAAAGATTTAAGGAAGCGGAGACAACATTTAATTTACCAGCATTGGTGAGGAAATGTGTAATTTCACATCTTATAAATGTTTTGCTTAGTAGCAGATTATAAAAAAATAGCATTAAATTTAATGAAATACTTCTTTGTGGGTGAACCCCAGCTGCTCCCTGAAGCTATGTCATTGTTATAGCTTCCCAATACTTAGTCACATCAGTTATAGGGATCCTGTTGGGCTGCTGGAGACCACAGCCACTACCTTGCCTTTTCCGCCACCTTGAAGAAGCACAGGGAGCAGGGGATTGTTATGATCACCCTCACAAAAAAAATCAGACGAGACATTACAGACAACTGCCCGTTCATGAAAATGAAGCACTGAAACAGCCAACAGACACCACAAAAGAATCATTCTAAATAAATAAAATGGTTCATACAACACTAGATATGAAATATCCCCAATATGTATGTGCAAAGCCACTAACCGGCAGCATTCCAGCCAACTGGCATCTCGTAGAGTCCATTGCAGATTGGTCATGAACCAGTGCACCTGGTGGGGGGAGGGAGGGAGTTAGGGAACTGCTAGGGCTCACCCAGATGGGGGTGTGTCATTGCATTCAATGCTAGTTTTTTTGGATTTATCAGATAGGAGGAGAGGCAGCGGCTACAAAATTGAAGAAGAAACGCCTGACCGGGAAACCTGGCCCAGGGCAACATAAGCCTGAATGGAGCCAGAAACATTGACCAGATCAGTTCTCTTCATTCTTCAAAAACTTGACAAGCAGGATAACTCCATTATTCAAAGTTAATATGCTGAATTTTTCTTATACCTGTATTACTAGGAGGGGAAACCTGGCAGTGACTGGTATGGTCAATCTCTCCCCCAACCTACCCCTTGTTTTCTTTTTCCCTCTCTTAACATCCTCCCTTTTTACCATTCTTCCTTTCCCCTCCCCACCTTTCCCACCTTTTGGTTCTGTCCATTTCATCTTGGCTGTTTGTCATCTTATGCCCAATACTGCCACATCTTGCTGCTTGGTGCTGGCAGAGCTGCTTCTGGAGGTGTTCGGCATTGATGCTTCATTGATGCTGGCTCACAAGTTATCTTGTGTGTCTTTTCACCTCCAGTCTGCTCACTCACCCCTTGAGCCTTATTGGTCTCAGGATCAAGTTTTGTCTTTTATTTCATCTGCTTTGTTCTCAGTCACCCCTTCGGTCTGGAATCTATTTTATGAGGCCTTGTTATTGTTGGCTTTTGCTTGTAGGTATAGGGTAGGGAGCTTCATGCTCTCCTCAGGCAGGGGTTCTATTACCCATGCATGATGGAGAGCATTAAAGGTACTATTCTTTTAAACATGGTGGGCAGTTTCTTCATCTGCAAGCCTTTTTTTTCCTTTCTGGCTAAAATGAGATGGCTGGCTTTTGGAGGGATCTGTTGAATGTTGATTCTTTAATTTGCTCATCCAGGGGCATGTATTGTGTTGGGTTGCTGTGATCTACTGTTATTTTCCTCAGAACACTCAGAATATATGGTTGTCTTACAACTTGATAATGGTCCAGGACAGACTGAAACGTCATCCCTTCTCCATTTTCTGATGTGTGGTTTCGTCATTATATAGATGTTTCATTATTGACCAGGTGTCCTTGGTTCTTTGTTCTCCAGGCCCATTTATCTCAGGTTGTCTATAGCATCATTAAACTCAGACAACCTGTGATCTACCCTCGGGCCCTTGATGTTCAGAAGTTTGCAGTTTTGTCCACTGTGTTTTCTAATACAGTATGTCTTGGCCGGATATTTGGTCTAGGGAGTTTTGCCATTGTAACAGGGGTGTTGGGGGCATGATATTTTGTTAATGTCAAGGGACCATGCCTAGTTGGGTTACTTGATATTGACTCCTCTTTCTTCAAGGGGTTATTAGTTTCTATCCTCTGCCCCTGGTGAGTGTTATTTTGCTTTTGTTCTTTGTGGTGATATAGCTACAGGAAATCACTGGTTAAGCCTTTCCAAAATACCTGCATTGAATGTAATGAAATGCCTCTCTCTGACAAGTCCTTCAGTGACTCCCTCATCCTTCCCTTCTTCTTTTAGGTGCATTAGTGGTCTTTGGTCGGATCATCACTGATGGGTTGACCCCAGGCAGACCAGAAGCTCCCAGGGCTGCCACCTGGCTTGGGTAATTAATGGGGATTGACCTAACTATTGTGGACCTAGTTTTCAGAGTTGTTCACATTCACCTTGCTGTTGTCTGTTTTGTTTTGCTCTACCTTTTCCAGTGGTCCATTCTCATGGTTAGGATGATCTAGCCTCCCATGCTCCTTGCACCTCTTTGATTGCCTGAGCAAGGAATGCTCCTTTTAGCCTCTGGTCTCCGGTAGACTTTTAATGACTAAGAAAGACCAGAGGTGACATTATGTGCGTGGAGCTACACAGAGCTACTGAGAGAGCCCTCCTAGAACACTTGTTTTGGTGTTTTTTTTATGTGCATATAATGTATATATAATATATATTTTTTATGTATATATAATGCTTGATTTATATTCCTATTCAAGGGTTAACAAATAAAAAAATAAGCATTGAATCTAGAAAGGGACATACAGAGGAACCTCGGGTGACGAGCAGCCCCATCTACAAGCATTTCAGGTAACGAGCGAGCCACTCGCGGAAAATTTGTCTCGATTGACAAACTTCCGCTCGGTTAACGAGAAAAACCACGTGGTGCAGTTCTCGCAAATTCTTGGACATATTTAGTTTGAAAACTGAAAACAGCCAAACAAAACATTAATAATAATTACGTGTATTATAATTACATTATAAAATATATATTGATGTTTTTTGAGGGTGGAACAGATTAATTTTATTTCCATTATTTTAAATGGGGAAATTCATTTCGTAAGACGAACATTTCACATGAGGAGCTCAGTACCGGAACTGATTAAATTTGTTAACCGAGGCTCCTCTGTATTTAATTTTTCTTCTGTGATTGAGTAATTACTGTACTGTATTCGATTTTAATTTCCTTGTCTGAAATTGTGCTATTATTACAGTACAGTATCTGCTAAAAAATTTAAAATAAATTACATTAATGTTATATGCACCTATGGAGGCATATGCAAATTACAATGAAAGGTGCTTCCTAACAAAATGTTCACATTTTACTCTGTTTGATATAGACAAAATAAATTAGTATATATTGTTACCACCATCCTTATGATTTTTTTCTTTCAGTTTAGTGAAGTATGTGTATACACACAGAAGCTAGCATACCTCAGGGAAGAAATGAACAATATCACTGACCGCACTGCTCGCCTTAAAGTAAGTACTGTACTATATCATTTCAACTTTTATAGTAAACAAATAGTGTTTAATGTAATGAAACCCATGGCTTGTGACACTGATCACTTTCTTAACCTGGAGATCACGTTAGGCACTGGATGACTTTGTATGTGGGGACGAGTAACTATTTTAAACGTGTAACGTATATGATTTTGGGTGACAACTTTCAAAGGCTATGATGTTTCTTAAGTTTATTTAATACAGCCCAGTTTAGCAGTTGGATGTTAGAAATGATACGTGTTGTGAGAGGTTGAGATGAGGATGCTTATAACGTGCTGCTGGTTGGGTCATACAGGAAGTAGTGCTGAAGGTGGCCGGAGATAGCGAGCTTGTGCGAGGCCTGGAGTGGAGAGCAGAGAGCTTAAGCAAGACTGGATGTAGAGAGCTCGAAGGAGGGTGCGAGCAAGGAGAATGGATAAGGGGCGAGAGCGGGGAGCTCAATGATCCCTGAATGGCCATACAGTGGAACCTCGGTTTTCGAATGCCCCTGTTTTTTAATTTTTTGGTTCTCGAGCTCAATTTCTTTGAAAAATTTGACTCGGTACTCGAGGTTTGCCTCGGTGCTCGAGTTTGTTGATACACGTATGGGCCGACCGAGCACGTGGCGTGCTTCAGTTTACCGGTGTCTCCCACCTAGTGACAACCGCACTTGAATTCTTTGTGAAGAATTTCATTGTTTTTGTGCTTTTTTGGTTTCTGAACATAAAAGTTCTTATTATATATCATGCCATGGGTTCCAAAAAAGTCAGTGGTAAAGTTCAACCTAAGAAAATAGTTGTGAGGATGACGATAGAGGAAAAACAAGAGATCATTCATAGTGAGACAATGTGATGTCTCACTACAGACAAGTGTTAAAATGTAGGGAAAAACAAGTGTCTATAGACAGATTCTTAGTAAGACAAGCAAGCAGTGAGCCACAACCAGGTCCTAGTGGTATGCCTGCAAAAATGAGAGAGAGAGAGAGAGAGAGTACCCCAGAAATGTCATCACTGCTGTTATAATGGAAGGGGACTCCCCTTCCAAACACTAACACCTCTCCTCCTCCTCCCCCTTCCTCACTGTCTTCCATATGCCAACAAGAGTCCTCAATAAAGGTAAGATATACTTGTACATACTGTAGTACAAAATATAAGTAGTAGTAGTATGTATAAAATGTATTTTTAAGTTAATATTTTTGGGGGTGTGGAATGGATTAATTCAATTTACATTATTTCTTATGGGAAAATTGTTTCGGTTTTCAAATTTTCGGTTTTTGAACTGTCTCTGGAAACAGATTAAATTTGAAAACGGAGGTACCACTGTAAAAGAGCCCAGTTGGCCGAGCGGGAAAAGCATCTCATTGCTCGTCCAGTCTGGGCACCACAACAGGATGGCAAGTAAACAAGGCAGAAAGGATGTAAACAAAAACTGCAACTATTGTTAATTTCATATAAGTAGGTATAGTGTGCTGTAATAAAATTACAGTATGTAATTTAAAATGAAAGAATTTTTTTGTTTGTCTAATAAGAATTTTACTTTTATCCTTCTATCTAGTATTGTATATTTGTTGGTGAGCTAAACAGTTTAATAACTTCCTTGAGCAATGTCCTCTTATAAAGAGTAAGTTAATGAGATTAATTAATTTTGCTTCCCTAAGAATAATATTACAGTTCATTGGATCTACTATAATTAAATGATCAAGAACCACTATCATATTTTCTACAAAAAAATGCATAGATAACAAAATTCCCTTTCTGGACGTTATGGCAATGAAAAACGATGAGGGTTTCAGTACCGCTGTTTATCGTAAAAACACGCACACTGATACCTATATCAATTTTTTCACTCGACAGCAACCAAGTTAAGAAAAGGGTAATCATACGTCATTTTCTCAGCGCTCTCCGTTTATGTGACCCTGAGGTTTTAGGTAATGAAACTAAACATATAGCCACGTGTTTCATCAAATTCTAATTATCCCCGCTGGTACATTGACAGTTGGGAGAAAAAAGCTAAGTGAATTTTCTATAATCGTAGCAGTACAAACAAATGGAAGAAAATAAATAAAGAAGAAAGAAAATAAAGTTGCCTTACATACCATTTTTAGAACAAATATCTAAAGACCTTATTAACACTAATTACAGCTTGTATATGGTTTCCAAAACAATTACAAGAAACCTTTGCCACAACAAACTCAATAATAAGGGTAATAATAACAATAATGATGAGTGATGGTATTGTTAATATGTAACATTGATGTTAACAATAATAATTTTTATTTTATTTTATTTATATATATACAAGAAGGTACATTGGGTTTGTGAGAATACATTGGATAGTACAGTAATTACATTCTTGTAAAGCCACTAGTATGCGCAGCGTTTCGGGCAGGTCCTTAATCTAGCAGATAATTTTAAGTTTTTATTTATTTATTTATTTATTTATTTATGCATATACAAGAATGTACATAAGGAATGTGAGGATGCAAATATGGTAATTACAGTCTTGTAAAGCCACTAGCACGCGCAGCGTTTCGGGCAGGTCCTTAATCTAAGAAAATTTTAAGGAGGTAAATACTTGCAAAAATTATAGACAAAAAATGATAACAGATTACATGAAATGAAAAAAAGATGAGAGAAAATTGTAGGTACAGTATATTAAAGCACATAGGTAGCTAAGATTGATTGCAATGACAGCTTGAATGGTAGTTGACAAAAAAATTGGTAGGCACAATACAGCAGAAACAATATAAGATTGGTTGCAATGACAGCTTGAATGGTAGTTGACAAAAATTGGTAGTTGTTGCTAATGTTGATAATGTTGATAATGGTATTACTGTAATAATAAGAACAATGTAGGTAATGGTGTACAGTATATGTGATAAGTTGTAATGATTGCAATTTATCATATGTTGGAGAGACTGGTCATGGTTTATTGAAAAAAAATTATAAACAAAAAAGCAGTAACAAAATTTGATGAGAATAATGCCATTGCAAACCATTGTTGAGATTTTAATCATACAATGTATTTTAATAAGAAAATTGTTTATAACTGCTCATATACCAAAGAGAGACACCTAAGAGAAGGAGTAATTATAGATTCTATAGAAACTGTAAAGGGAAATAATTTTTTTAGTAAAGTAGATATAATTAATTGTAAAATTATTCTTAAGGATGCAAAATTAACTGATCTCATTAATACATATAAGCACAGACCTTGTGGTGTTCAGAATGGGAACAATGACTCTGCAGACCTCTGCCCACAGGTTCTCAGAAATCAGGATAAGTGAGCATTCTTCTGAAAATTCAACATCCCTTAGTAAGTTTCTGGGGAGCATGATCACATGACGTCTAATGAGACCCTAAGTGAGGCGCTCTGCCAGACATATGGAAACTCCTAGAATCTTGTTCAGAACATTGTATACAGCACCTTGAGAAAGGTTGTAGGTTACATCCAAATTTCTTTTTTTAATACACTTACACATATATTAAGTCTTTCCTCCACCTTTATTCAAGTACTACAGTGTTATAGTAAGTTTCTCCACTGTTTTGTACATAGTGATCCTACCTCCTCTTCTATCTTCTCTTTTGATAATTACTTGCTTTTTATCTTCTAGCTTTCGCATATTTAATACCTCAGACTTCTCCTCGTAGCTCTTGTCTTTCAGTTCCGAAAGTCATTTACTTACATATCTTTGCACCTTAGCCAATTTGTTGACGTGCGTCTTAAAATGTGGGCACCATATTTATGAATATCTCTGTAACTGGGTTCTTTTTAAACTCTCAGATTTGTCTCAAGTTCAGAGATCCATAACTTTGGTGGAAATGCAATAATGTGTTTAGAGAAATCAAATGGCAACATAAAACTTCCACTTATTATTAATTAACTACAATAAACTATATACACTAGACATTAACACATGGACACCGAATGCTGACAATGTTACCCTCAACTGTGAGGATAAAATCCACACTCCTCTGGTAAGGTCTTCCAACACAACACTAATCCTCTCACTAGCTCGCTTCTGTAGTGACGTCTTCCAGCACTCCACCAACTAGCACGCTCAAACAGTGAAATCTTCCAGCGCTCTACTAGCATGCTCCTATGGGGAAGTCTTCCAGCACCCCACTAGCATCCTCACTAGCACACTCCAGCAGAGACGTCCAATGGTGGACTTGGTCACTGCTTCACTCCCTCTGCCTTCTGCTACCAGTCACCGGCACCTCATCACCTCTCAGAACAGCAGACTAGAAGATGGGAAATATTATTAATGACAAAGTAAGCGGTCTTAATTCAGAGCCTGAATCATAGATGGTGCTGAGGCTTACCACACAACTGATGTATATTCCAAGTTTGGTCTCACAAAGGTTGTGAACAATTTCTTTAATATTTTGCCATTCATGTATTTAAAAGCAAGTCTGAAATTGGAAAACATAGTTTAAGCTCCCACAATGTTCTTTATGTGATTCTCAGGTGACAGTTTTCTATCTAGAATCATCCTTAGATTTTTTAATTCTTGAAAGCATTTTCACATAAATTTATAGGTTGTGTATGGCCTATTTTCTATTCCATAATGTGGCATTTATTCATATTAAATTCCATTTGCCAAGTGTCTATGCACATAAATGTGTAATTTTAGTGAAGTAGATCCTACGACATTAGCCTATATGTGCTGAATTGATGAGGTTTTGGGCTATGTTTCACCTGGTCCCAAAAATTTCAAGTTGAGATAAAATTGGTGACTGAATGAACGATCTTCGTTCATTCAATTTATTGACGTTTTACTATGTAGGTATTTCCATACGACTTTGTTATTTCCATGCGTTCTACTCTCAACTAAGTCGTATGGAAATACCTACATAGTAAAACGTCAATAAATTGAATGAACCTTCGTTCGGTAATCACCACCCATTATGCAATCATATATCAAAATAGGTATAATATGTAGGTACATATTTTGTCGGGAAGTGAAAGTGGTGTCATGTAATACATTCACAGCTTTTAGTGGGGTAATATGGCACAAAATATATAATGACTTGTGTTTATAACAGACATGCTATTGTAAATAAAAAACAAAACCCACTTATCATTTACCATACTTGCAACATTAAATAAGTTTTATTATAGTCATTAACTTTAAACCACGCAAAACATACATATACGATTTGACATAACTCAAGTTTTTAAAACATGCACAAACACTTTCCAATTTTGTGTGCATAATCAACTAGGCAAATGCTCCAACTTTGTCTAAATAATCACAACATAACTTGAAAAACTAGAGAATCAAAAATAATTTTAAAACTGAATATTGAAAATTTCAGATTTTCAAATCAGAATTATAAAAAAAATTATTCAATATGATCTTCATGGTATTTTAAATATGGCATTTGCAAATTTAAACCAAAAATAAAAATTATAACTCCAACCGTATAGGGTTTATGAAAAATCCATTCTGAAGGAATTGTAGAACAGACAGTTGAGCACAAAACATGTCAAAATGGTGAGAATCAGTCAAAAACTGGAATTTTAGAAGCCACTCAAAGTTGAAACTCTAGTTTCAGAGATAATTAAAGTTGAAGTTATCAACAACGAATAAAGATAGTTCAAATATGTTAATTTAATTGTATATTTTAATGAGCATTGTTTGGCATTCGTGGTTGAATATGTGAAAGTTGTAGGTCAATATATGTTGAAATGAAGTCAAGAAAAAATACCCCCCCAAAAAAAAAAAAAAAACTGTATAGGGATAATTATAATAATTATAATTATTTAGGGGATATTTTTAGGGTATACAGTACTTTATATAAGTGAAAAGCCCTAATCTGGTCCCTAATCACCAAAATAACCTAAAGAGACAAAGAAAATAGTTTGATATCTGAGAAAAAATCAACCAAAAAAAGATTCAAAGCCCCAAGTTCTGCGAGTTGTGACTGATTTATTTGATGACCAATTTCATTCTATCTTCACATAGTTAGGGACGGGTATGCACTCTCCAGGATGTAAAGGTTACAACAAAATCATATAATAAACAAAGGAGAAAAAACTAAAAATTTAAAAAAAAAAATTCCCCTAAAAAAATCTTTTTGGGACATTGATGAAAGTAACATATAATAACACTGGACAATGTATTTATATGACATAAAACAAAATAGAGCATAATAACATTATTACTCATTATTATTTGCGTTATTAAGTATTACTCGGCAATGCTATAAAGGTACCAGCTGCGTATCCACTTTGTGGACACTTCTTACTACAGTACTATTCTTCTTCTTCTTCATTGAGTGTCAGACAGATGCTTGCATCACTTTATTACTGCATTATTCCTTAGTTCCCGTTAATAGGAGCTGTTCTCCTCATCAACAAAACGTTATTATTTAAAAAAAATTTGTTGAAAATCAATTTCTAAAAATATTTTGATTAGAGTTTCATGATGCTGAAGCCAATTAGTTGGAGATTTGTTTAACTTTTTTAAGTTAATTTTTACATAATTCAAATATTTTTCGTTTCCGGGTCCCCAATATGCGCGGTTTAAGGTTTAATTTAAGTACAGTATCATCATCATCATCAATATGATGATGATTGAAATTTGGATTACTGTATCCAAGCATGGAGACCACATCTTCAGAAGGACAGCTGCTCTGGAGAAAGTGCAACACCAGACAAAAATCATTCCAGAGCTAAGTCAACTCAGGTATCTGGAAAGGTTGAGGGCCACAGAGCTAACACTGCAAACCAGGCATGACAGGGTGGATCTTATTGAAACTTTTAAAATACTGAATAATTTGGAAGATGTTGATCCAGACAACTTCTTCTAAAGGTCAGATGTAACACAAAAAAGAAGCAACGGTTTCAGGCTCAACAAGCCATAATGTAGGACAGAGAACAGGAAATGTTTTTTTCACCTACAGGGTTATAAACCCATGGAACAGCCTACCCACTGAAGCTGTAAATGCCAAGAGACTTGAATTTCAAAATCCAACTGGAAAAAATTATCAAGGCAAATGAGGGAACCTTTGACAAGCCGCCGGTATCCTGTCCTCGTCAAGACTACTAGTGTCAGTGGGTGGCTGAATTTAATGCCCTTTTATATACTGTATCTCATAATCCATGATGTTTGTAATAGATTTGTACCGTTTCCAGAGGTTCTGTTTAGTTATTAGCACCCGTTTTATTACTGTACTTGTGTCATCCATCATGTTCCCATTCTTTTCTTTTCTTCTGTTTGGCACATAACTTTGTATGAGTTCAGTAATGATCTTTTTGAAATTTTTTCATGATGTTTCCATGCCCTGATCATCTATCAGGTGATCAGGGCAAGGCATCAAGAGTCAAACAAACCTTTGACTTCAAGGAAATGAAGGTAGTTATTCAAATGTACAAATGGATTTCTAGTTGCTGCACAAATAAATTGCTGTACCAGCATTCCTATCCTCTTCAGTGGCATCTGACAACCTGGTGAAGGAAATACTACCCGAAAGGACCTGCCTGAAAGAATGTAAGAACCTTGTATATATAAATAAATAAATACAAATATGCATACACTATATAGTATATATCACTATACTGTACTGTACTGCATGAGGGGTTCCGGAAGTACAGTTGGGCTCGTTCTCGACTCACAATCAAGAATTCCGAGTTCGAATCGCAGGCAAGACAGAAATGGTTGGGCGTATTTCCTATCACCTAATGCAACTGTTCACTTAGCAGTGAGTAGGTAATCAGGAGTTAGTCAGCCTGTTGTGGGGTTACATCTTGGGCAGGGTCAGCAATTCGACCTTGGGGGGAGTGGGGACCTGAATATAAGCCTATTGTATAACACACTCTTGCTGCCTGTCCCCCACGCACAATTAATTATTATTGATTATTATCAATGACTTGAGCAAATGCTTATATCATTCCTAAATCTATACTACAGTACTTGCTGGTGGCACCATCCACATCTACTATAGCCCTAACCCACATTTGTAACAGGAATCTGTACACCAGTTGATTGACAGTTGAGAGGCAGGACCAAAGAGCCAAAGCTCATCCCCTGCCAGCACAACTAGGCAAGTATAACTTGGTGAGTACATGCCTTGAGTTATTCAGTGTAGTAAATAATGAATTAAAAAGTATCCAAAACATTTAGCAAAATATTCACTGCAAAAATGTGATATCAGAAACAAATTCTATTTTCAAACAAGAATCCCCTCTGTTGAGATTCCTGAACATGTTGAACATACACATTCTATGCAGTACACAGAATAATCACACTAACGTAATTTCTCAATGAGATAATCTGTAGGAGCCGTGATGAGGGTTCGAACCTATGCAATGGGTGTTCAGTGGAAGCCTCAGGAAACCCTTGTGAGCTCAGTAGAACTCCAGGTTGCAATCCTTTTGACCATGTCATGGCCCAGTTGACTAGGGCGCGTGCGTAGCAACACCCACCGCATAGGTTCAAACCATCATCACGGCTCCTACGGATTTTCTCATTCTATACATTCCCCTGTGATTTCTACACCTAAAAAACCCTCTACTTTATATTAATCCTGATTTGAAATTATTTCCAGATATTGTATATGTACCGTAATGGAATTCATGAATATCACTCTATAAGTAAGTTCTGTACATTTTGATACTGTACTCTCCAAGTTCAGCTAAATGTATGCGAACATGCCATAAATTAGCAACTTTAAATTTCAAACTACTTTCTGAATGAGGTAGAAGATTGCTTAACTAGCTTAATGCCAAAATAAAGAAGTACCTATAATTTTCACATAAAACACCTAACCATATTGTTCTCTTCATCATGCAAACTTTATTAATAAATCATACACTGAAGAGCCTTTTGTTTGGTACTAATTCACTTTCACTTAGTACTAATATTACATACAGTAATCGTTAACAAAATTTAAAAAGTACTGTATATAATTAGCTTCCACCTACAAGAAGCTATGTTAGTACTAAATACAGAACTGTATTTAATTAAAAATAGACTGTACCTACGTACTGTACTTCTATTAATTTATATACAGCATTACTGCAAATTCTCACCATATACCTTAACCACTAGTTTGGTACTTTGTTGCATTGACTATTCAATATATCTGGTAAATTAAAAATGACTGCAGTCTTATATAGCAATCAAATTAATTTCAAGGTATACATCAGCTTCTCTGTCAGCTTCAAAACGTGTCTGACACACTGTGTGTTAATGACTATAAGAATGAATCATTTGCTGATACTGTATGTATGTATGTATGTGTGTATGTGTGTGTGTAAATATATATATATATATATATATATATATATATATATTTATTTATTTATTTAAACCTGCACATTGCATGTATGTATGTATGTATGTGTGTGTATAAATATATATATATATATATATATATATATATATATATATATATATATATATATATATATATATATATATATATATATATATATATATATATATATATATATATATATATATATATATATATATATATATATATATATATATATATATATATATATATATATATATATATATATATATATATATATATTTATTTATTTATTTAAACCTGCACATTGCATGTGCTTGTGCAATGTATTTAAATAAAAATATTTTGTACATTTCTTTAATTTATATACCTACTCTAATTAAATGAATATGCATGCAAGTGCAGAGCTGAAAACTCCTTCATAAAAAACAAATTAAATTCCTTTTTTTTTTATTTAGAAAATGTTATTTAAGAATTTCTTCCTTTTGGGTCCATTTGAAATTTACCGCCATTTTTTAATTACCGTCATCGTACCTAATATACAATCATTCTTTAATCAAATATAAACTATTTACATTATATAAACCATGAAATAATTCAATTAAAATTTTAGTAAAACGTTCCATACTTCTGATAGTGAATAATTTGGAGATAGTGTGTAGAGTACATAGTCCGGTAGCCCCTCCCTCAAGTGAAGTTTACCTATAGCGTTCGCGGTAAAAACCCAAGACGATCAGCTGCTCTATGGTCTCCTCACCAGTATTGTCACTCCTCCATGAGGTATGGAGCGTCTAGCTCGGTATTTGAGCTCTTAATTATGCGATATAGACGGTATAAAGATGTTGCGGAGTTGGAGGAAGGTGGTGGAGAAAGGCGTCACAGCCGCCGCCTTAACAACACGGTTTTTAAAAAAGTATTACAATAGTTTACCGTAACAACATGTTTACGGCTTCGGCAGGTAGGCTGTTCCATGGGTTTACAATCTCTTGGTCTAGCAGGTAGGCTGTTCCACGGGTTTACAGCCCTCTTGGTGTAGCGGGTAGGCTGTTCCACAGGTTTACAACCTCTTGGTCTAGCGGGTAGGCTGTTCCACGGGTTTACAAACCCTTGGTCTAGTGGGTAGGCTGTTCCATGGGTTTACAACCCCCTTGGTCTAATAAGCCTCTCACTCTACAGCCTCCTTGAGAAACCATTTGGTCTATAGCCTCCATTGATTGCAGCTCCTCTTCCCCTGTTTTGTTCTACAAACCCACTTTGTTCTACAGCTCCCTCTTGGCTTGCAGCTCCCATTGGTCTATGGCCCCACTTGTTTACAGACCTCTTGGTCTTTAGCTTCTCTTGGTGAACAATCTTCTAGACCTAAAAGCCCCCAAGATTATGGACTCGCTGGTCAGCATCTTCCCTTGAACTACATAACCCTTGATCTACAGCCCCTTTGGTTTACTGCCCTTCTTTGTTTATAGCCCCCTTTGTCTACAGTCCCCTTTTGGTTTACATCCCATTAGCCTACAACCCCCCCTTAGCCTACAGCTCCCTTGTTTTACACCCCCCTTTGCCCTTAGCCCTCTTGGCCTACAGTCCCCTCCCCCTTTGTCTACAGCTTCCTTTCATTAAAAGCCCCCCCCCCTTTGGTTTACAGCTTCCTTTCATTAAAAGCCCCCCCCTTTGGTTTACAGCTCCCTTGGTCTATGCTCCCTCTAAGTCTATAACCTCCCAATGGTATACAGTTCTCATGATCTGCAGTCTTCCATGGTGCTCTCAAAACCTAAAGCTCAAATGAATGTGTTAATTGATGTATGTTGCAAATGGTCCCATTTCTGTTATGCCAGATGAGTTAAAAGTCAAAGAATCATTAAATTCTGAATTATTCTATGCACTTCATAATGTTAAAAATGCATGCACAAAAATAATAATAAACCTGTACTTCTTGATTGATTGATTTATACTATATTTCATGATTTGTTTTCAGTAAATGCTAGCAAGTTGTACTAGAGGAAGAATGACACTTTCCCATGAATTGCCCACCATGGATACTGTTTTCAAGAGAAATTTTGGACATTTCTTTCCTATATCAGGTCAGAAGATTTTAATCTGTTTATTTAATTTGATATTTATGAAATAGTATAGCCTCCTAGAATTGTATTATTATTATTATTAATTATTATAATAGGTGTATGTAATGGAAATGTTGTGGACTCAATAATACATGAGCATGGAAAAAGACATACATAGTCTAAGTTTCCAGATGCTTTCTAAAAGAAAGTTCCCATGGCGCAGTGGTAACACACTTGACCAGAACTTTGCGAGCACTTTGGCCTGGGTTCATATCCTCGCCGGGGAGGATTGACTGTGGGCCAATCCTTAACTGTAGCTTAGGTGTGTGTACATCGGTACTGGAATATATCATATCTGACCATTCTGGCTTCACACTCGCAGAGCACATAGAATTTCAGTCCAAATCTGTGCCGTTTTGATGGATATGCTGCTTGACAGCAAGATATCCCTTGAAAAGAACAAGCAATTCATCAATCACTACTTTCTGGCCTGGTACAAAGAACTCTGAACTTTTCTTTCAAATATGATTTCCTCTCAGATCACTGAGCACTTCCCTTATTTTCCACAGTTTATCGTTTGCAACCACGTTATCATTTTCAAAATGAAGGCACCCTTAGAAGCATTATAAACCTGTCGTGAGATATGTATTCCCCAAAACGGGTTGGAACATTGCAGTCTTTGTTCAGATAATCCTGGATGACATGTTTTTCTGAATGATTGATCATCTGATTGATCATCATACACAGTGCAAGAAATGTATACATTTCAGTTACATTAGTGTCTTTCCAATGTAGCAAACATGAAAATACTTACGAGTTGTTTGTAGTTAGTTTCACTACATAGTGCTTGAGCCATTCATGAAACATCTCGCTGATAAAATCATCAAAATAAGCCATAAAATACTCGCTTTCACTCATATTTTTACCAGTACAGTATATTGTGACGGGTTGTGGTATCGTAGCTATACTGAACCAAGATGGTATGATTCTCCCTCACACAAATAAAAAAAATGCTGTTATTAGCCTTGCAGTGTGTAAGTCGCAGGTAGAAACAAATGAAAATCATCAAATAAATAATTAAAACAATTTACTGAAATATTAATGAACAAAAATGACACATGACAATACTTGGCTATTATTATATAACAAATTAAATAAGTAAATGAAAGTTTAACTCCAATACAAAGCATAAAGATATACTGGTGTACTGAAGACAGCTACCATACCACCACGGCATCAGACACACGGCATTGGCTGAAGGCAGACGACGGGTGAGAGAGACCAAGATGTTCCAAGAGCACTAAGAGAGAGACTTGCCTCTCCAGGAAGGTGGCGCCCTTTATATGGTCCGGCAATGATGACTCATCCGGTATCAACGCAAGGTGGACAGCTGGTCAACTAGCAAACTGCTCATTGTGGCTGGCAGTGCCTTTGTGTTGAGCTGCACTACTGCTAGTTGAAGGCGGCTAACTGCTTGTTTGTGAAAACAAACTACCGGTTAGCAGAGGCGCCCGGCTTGCCTCTGAGTCGTACCAGGCCGTGCCAGGCCCTGGGGGATACGGAGAGGTGGCAGGACTGATAGCTCATCTGGTCTGGTGTTGATGTAGACTTCCAGTGCAGAGGCATTGAAGGGGAAGAAAAAAGGCAGTTCCACTGCTATGCAGGGGATTCACGTGACAATATGGAAAATTTTTGTAACACCTAAATCCGTGTCATGAAATGTAGGTATTTCTGGTACAAAAGTGTTAAAATCTCCCCATATGAGTACACCTGTGCTGATTGTGGTGGAGCCAACACCGCAACACCATCTTCTTATGATAAAACTTTGTTGCCTGGGATATAAAGCTCTTATACTTTGTATAGGGTGACTACAAACTGCTGAAATTGAGACCATTCTTCATTCAATTTCCCCATTGCTGATAACATGTCATGGTGGGGCTGAAGGTCACTTAGAACCAGGTGATGAGTAGTGTTTTGGCTGGACACTAACCCTGGCTCGAGGGAACAATATTGGGGCTGCTCAGAAAGGAGAGCTTTAATTCTCTCAATGCCTTATTATTATTTCTTTAAACATTTATATCTGTACTTTATTAAAATTTTTGCCAGTTTCACTATAAAAAGCAGTCTACCTTTGTGGCCTGACAACTGAGTGGACAGTGCTTTGGATTCGTAGTCCTGAGGTTCCGAGTTCGATCCCCGGTGGAGGCAGAAACAAATGGGCAGAGTTTCTTTCACCCTGATGCCCCTTTTCACTTAGCAGTAAATAGGTACCTGGGATTTACAGTTGCTACGGGCTGCTTCCTTGGGGTGTGTAACAAAATGGAGGCCTGGTCGAGGACCGGGCCACGAGGATGTTAAGCCCCGAAATCATCTCGCGATAACCTCAAGAAGAAGATGGTCTTATTCCTTGTATATCCCTTTCACCCTTCTTTAATTATCTTAAGTATTTTTGTCTTAAACTTTGAGATAAGCCTAATTAGGCTGTATTTCTTGTTGTAAAAGTTATTATGTTGTGAAGAATACCTATTGACTATAATTCTGCTAATGATATATTTCATTTATATTAATATTTAGATACGTGTAAGTACAAGCTGGTGAGACATGAAATTGTGGATGGGAGCAATGGCACACTGTGCATATATGATGATGGAATTATCTTCACCCCTCCATTATATCAACAGCGTTACAAGAAAGTTATGGACAAGATTATCTCGGTTAGCAAAGGAGTATTTACAAAGGTGAGACTTGTTCTTAACACTTTGGTGCACCCCGCTCGCCACCCCTCAACTGTGCGATATGGGACCCAGGGTGTCACGGGAGTGCGCGTAAAATCTGAAAAGTGTATACTCTCTTCAACTTTGTCACCTTAATTCTCGTCCTACGAGATTAAGTTTGGTATCATTGTGTTCGCAATAGAATTCTCTACAGCACTAAATGCATATAAACTCCAAAAGCCCGGCTAATTACCCGCAGCAAACAGAGAAAGTGCGAACGAGTTACCCAGGAGCGCGCAAACGCGATAAAATGTTTTCACTATTTTCACTCTGGTCACCTCAATTTTTATCCTAGGTCTTTCATTTTGGTCTCAATGGGTTCGCAATAGAATTCTCTAGAGGAACATTAGCATATCAAATAAAAAACCTGGTCACGCTCCAACCGCCGACGAGTTGAAGACGGGCCACGCGTTAGCCGCGAGTGAGTGCTCAGCCGCCTTCCACCTACACTCCCAATTCCCGCCCTTTTCAAGCCTTTCTTTCGCAATTTTCTTCCTGGAAGGGCCTTGTTCATGATCACTATCCATCGTGGAGTAAGCGTAGATAGTTTCTAAAGCCGCAGTAAGAAATATAGCCACGGAAAATAGGCGAAATGTTCACACGTTTGAGATGCGAGGGGAGGCGACATTGGTCACAACAGTGGAGCGAAAGCAATGGGCCCACGGCATGTGCCAAGCCGCCTGAGGGCCACGAGGCTCAACAAGGAAAATGGGAAGACATCGGCGCGCATTTTAAAACCAGTCCCCAAAAAATTGAATAAAAACCTGATTTTTGGCGACGCAATGCTTAGTGTTTTAAAGTTAACCCAATGAGTTCTTAACCCAATGAGGTTAGGGCCCTCATTGGCTTGCCATGTAAACAAGAACCTGGTATAAGCTCTGGGCGTCATCCCCTGTTTGCTTCTGTTTATCCAGTAAGTGGGATCCTGGACCTAGATTCACGAAGCTCCATGTATTTCTTCGTAAGTAGGTGTGCTACGAAGGTTCGTAAGTACCGGCTAAGAACGTGACTATATGCGATTCAGAAAGCTGTACTTACGAAGTTATTAGCAACTTTCAAGAAGTCTCGCTAGATGTCACTAGGGCTTTTCATACGGCTTCAGCGGGTAGCGGTTCCATAGGGTTTATAACCCTCTTTGTGAAAAAACATCTGTTTTCAGCCCTACTTGAGAGGACATACTCTCCAACACTATATCTGTGATTGCCCTGTTATCAGTGACTTCAGACCAAAAGGTATGAGGTACTTTGAGCTTTGTAATTACTTCATACACTCAGGAATATTGCAAGATATTCTTGTTGTGCATCCAGATTTTGCTAGTGGGGGCTAAAAGCCTTACATATTTTGTTCTCTTCTGATTCCATGTATGACTGGCCATCCTGTGAGGTGGGGATGTTGGATGAGCTTGTAGCTAGTTTTTTATCTACATTGTGTGGTCCTTCATACAGAATAGGGAAGCAGCCATTGCTGTGTATACCTAAGCATGTTATGAAAAATACATTGTTTGAGAGGAGTCTTGTAGAAACTGGTAAGAGTAATTATAATATAATGTTTCCATGATTCAGTGCTTACCTCTTGTGAAAATTGTGAAGTTGTTGTTTAGTCAGAGTTGATTTGTTTTTTGTATTGAGGCTGGTATTTTCATCCTTGATTCCATGTATGTCTAACCATTCTGTGAGATGGGAGTATTAGATGAACTTATAGCTAGCTTTTTATCTACACTGTGTGTAATCTTTCATATAGAATAGGGTAGCAGCACATTGCTGTGTATACCTAAACTTCTTAATAAAAAAAACAGTAATAAAGGTTTTACATTATAGTTTGTATTATTACTAGTATTATCCTTATTAAATCATGTTAACCATGGATCATTAAGATCTCATGTTGATATATAATAGTCATATTTCTTTTGAATCATTCATTAAATTGTGCATTATGTCTCCCGGCTTGGTGCCTTTTCTTTTGATAATTACTTATTGTTACACACAGCTAAACTGTGTAACAGGAAGAGGTCTTGGACACAAATTTGTTCCATGCTAAATGTAGAGGAATCAGCTGAGCACTCCTCAAATAAAATAAGCTGCCTCAGCTTATAAGGTAAATAAAATAAGCATTACTCAAATAAGTAGTTGCCTCACCTCACCGCCTTACTGCTCCATAGCTTACCTGGCTTTGTGCATTATTTTAATAATTACTTATTGTTACACAGCCAAATTGTGTAACAAGACGAGGTCTTGGACCCCTGCTTCCCCCCCCCCCTCTCTTTTTTAACAGGCCATAATAGTCCATAGTAGTCATAATTATTGGTCTAAGTATTCAATGACAAAAGTTTTTGAAGTTTTTACCCTTACCCTTACCTAACATCATTTGTGCTTATGTCTCACCCAGATTTAATTTCAAAATAAAACCAAACAAAATCAATTAAAAATGGGTATGTATAGCTAAGGTACACCCTAGCTATGCTTATTGCTAGGTGAACAGGGGCATTTGGTGACAGTCAGTGCTCCCACCAGCCCAGGATCATCACCTTCTCTCATCTTTCATGTTCACCAATGTTTATTTACTTAATAACTACTGTTATAATATCTTGCTATTATAAAACTAATTCTAATATCATAAAAGACATATTTACTACAAGTTTCAAGCAGAGAATGCATATATAGCTAACACGAAGGACTCTTGATGAGACTCGCCAGCTAAAATGTTTGTTTATAATAAAATCGATCCTCCATGTTGCGTAGTTGAGAAAAATTGATTTATATCCAGTTTACATAAGCTACGAGTGGTCGAGACCACTCTTAGCCGACGGTGTTTACTTACGAAGATTTTCATACGTAAATGTCTACCTGAATACCAGACGTAGCCGCTAGGAAGATGCTAGGAAGATGCTAGGAAGAAAATTTTTCGTACATACGTATGTAACTGCTTCGTGAATCTGGTCCCAGGTTCTAAGGTCTAAAGCTTTGCCTGAAATGCTGTGTATATTAGTGGCTTTAGGCATATTATTTACTAGCTCTATCTAGAAATCCAACATTCTGTTTGTAACTCATTTTGAATGTACAGGTGTAGGTACTTTTACCTGAATAAATGTTATTATTATTATTATTATTATTATTATTATTATTATTATTATTATTATTAATTAACAAATTGTATTCTCGAGAAAACAAGTAGCGTAAGGTTTCAAATAAGCTGTGGGAATAGAGCTGTTGGCTGTAAACAGAGTCAAAAAGATTTCTTCTCCTGTACCTTTGAGTGAAATAAAAAAATTAAGCTGGCCAACCTAAAAATAATAAGATGTAGTAAAATTCGTATGGAGAAAAATGCATATTAATCTGAAACAGCTGGGGGACTAAGAGCTGTTGGTTGTATGAATATTTTCGTTCTGATTGTTTTTCCTCCCACCTACTATCTTGAAGTGATCTTGAGATGGTTTCGGGGCTTAGCGTCCCAGTGGCCCGGTCCTTGACCAGGCCTTCTTTTTGTTACACACCCCCCAGGAAACAGCTTGTAGCAACTGTCTAACTCCCAGGTACCTATTTACAGCTAGGTAAACAGAGGCATCAGGGTGAAAGAAACTCTGCCCATTTGTTTCCGCCTCCGCCGGGGATCGAACCCGAAACCTCAGGACTTCGAATCCTGAGCGCTGTCCACTCAGCCGTCAGGCCCCATTGTTTGCTAAAACAAACAAAATAGATTCAGAAATACTCTTGCGTGCAATAAGTGTCAGTGGTGGGCAGGTTCGCTCAATTAACTTGATGCATGCCATCAACGGTCATTGAGTGCATGCGGGAGGCAGTAAAGAAGGAAAGCAATGAGTGAGGGAGGCCACAACCGAGGATGGAAGGGGGCAGTAAAGATGGGAAGGAACCAGTGCCTGAGGAAGGCAGTGACTGGGAGAGCAGGAACCAGTGTGCAAAGGAGGTAGTGAGTAAGGGAGAATAGAAACCAGTGCATGAGAGAGGGTGGGAAAAACATACATTTTTAGTCATACAGTTTGTCAGATATTACAGTGTATCAAGATATTAATGTACAATATGTAATAATAACGCTTGTTTTAAAATGTTTTACAGTTATTAGTTTGAAATGTACGTTGGCTAGGTAGGGTAAGTATTACACCTACACTGTGTGCAGATCCATGCATTACCAGCTTTGCTGAACACTTTTTGACGAATTGAGTTGCTCTGCCCTGAAAAGTGTATATTGGAACCGGAGATTGGTAAAAGTGAGGTTGCACTTTACAGAATTTAACTTGACAGAGAACTTTTCAGGAATAACTACATTTCCTATATTGAGGGACTCATGTGCTGTATACTAACCTCAATGAAATGAAATCGAACCATATCTTAGTTATATGTTAAAAGAGAATTCTCATTAATTTCAGGTAGTTGACATAGGATGTGCAGATTTAAAGTTCTTCAGATACCTGCTGAATGTTCCTGGCATACAGGAAATAGTTTTACTTGACAAAGATGCTCATGTGTTGAAGGTGAGTATGTGTATAGTAAATTACAGTACTGGTAAATATTTTTACTTTTAATTTGAAATATTGTATAGTACCAGTACACAATACAGTACATTGAAACTTCGTGTGATGAGCAGCCCCATCTACGAGCATTTCAGGTAACGAGCAAGCCACTCGCGGACAATTTGTCTCGATTGACGAGCTTCCGCTCGGTTGACAAGAACACCACGTGGTGCGATTCTCGCAAATTCTCGGACAAATTCAATTGTACTTGAAAAGTACAATTGAAAACAGTATAACAAAGCATTTATAATAATTACGTGTACAGTATTATAATTTCATTATAAAATGTCATATGTTTTTTGGGGGTGGAACGGATTAATTTTATTTCCATTACTTTAAATGGGGATGCTCCAGGTATGCTCCAGGTATGCTCCTGGTGTCTGTTCTTTCTCTTCTATAAGGTTGTGAGGGCGAGTTCCCTCAACCTGTCTTCATAGCTGACTCAATTCTAGTACTAATCTAATTGCAAAACTTAGAACTTTCTCAAGTTTATTTTTGTGCTTTACTGGTTTGGGTGTTATGCTGGTGTTGCATACTCAAGTAATGGTCCCACATAGGCAATGTGTGTGTATTGACTTGAAAGCCTCCTTTTTCAATTCTTAACCCTTCCACTGCTCAGGGGTCCTGAGGACATTTACACGCCTGTGCGCAAGAACAAAAAAAAATTCAAATTTTTTTTTTCGTCTTCTAACATGCTAATTTGTGTCCCATGAGCACGGAAAAAAAAAATCGTAGGTGACATATTTTGGGCGCAATTGACCAAGGAAGTCTGGTAAAAAGTGGGCGTTGACAGAGCGGTCGTCAGAGCCGGTCAGCATCACCTGCGCTGACAGGTGGGAGTTGCCACAAAGATATTATTACCTAATTGTTTCAATGTCTCCGATTGATTTGTTTCAGTGTCTCCGATCATGGCGTATATATACGCCATGCATACTAAAATTTCTATATATAAATTTCTATATATAAATTTCTATATAAAAAGTATATATAAAATGTATATATATGCCATGCGCAGTTTAAGGGTTAAATAATAGGGTATGCCAGCACCATTAGAAACTTTAAAAAATACATCAAGAAGTTAAGAAAGAACACGACAAACTAACTCTCATTATAAATGCACTTACGTAATTATTTTCACAGACACTTGTATTGCATTATATGATCAAATGCACTTGGAGGAATAAATAAGGTCAATTTTTTTTTGTAACCTGCCACAAATATTTTTATACAGTACTTTGCTATATTCTATCAACTGTGACATAGTTGTTCAGTGTTGGCCGTTTACTTTCATGCTTATATTTAGAGAGGGGGTTTGACAAAAACGGATTAATGTGCACTAATTTATCATAATGTAGATTTGTATAATACTTGTCAGAAGAATAAATTGCATAGGTGCCAATTAAAACATGTGACGTTGTGCCAGTTTTTATAAATAAAGACAGGAGAACTGTGGTTTGTATTTATTCTGTGTAATTGTATTTGTATTCTGTACCTAATTATACAGTGGGCTTTAACCTTTGCAATAAATTATAGAAATCTGTCAATGGGAGTTTTATTAAATTGTCTTTGTTATAGGTAATATTTGAGTTTCTAAATCTTAACTCTGGTGTTTGTTTTCCTATTAGGTTAATGAATATCGCATCAATCCCTTAGCTGCAGACTTTTTAATGTTACGTAGACTGCCTTTGAATGTTAAGGCAGTGTGTGGCGATGCCAGAAATTACGCTCCTTTACTTTGTGGGACCCAGGTGATCACCATGATTGAACTGTGAGTTTTAATTGTTTATATTAAATGGCATATTCACACCTTCTAATTTTGCAGTTATGTGATAGAACCCTCATTAGTGGTTGTTATTATTATTATTATTATTGTTATTATTTATTATTATTTATTATTATTATTTGCACAAAGAAATTACACTAATGTGATATACTGTGTGTGTGTGTGTGTGTGTACTCACCTATTTGTACTCACATATTTGTGCTTGCGGGGGTTGAGCTTTGGCTCTTTGGTCCCGCCTCTCAACTGTCAATCAACTGGTGTACAGATTCCTGAGCCTACTGGGCTCTATCATATCTACATTTAAAACTGTGTATGGAGTCAGATTCCACCACATCACTGCCTAATGCATTCCATCCGTTAACTACTCTGACACTGAAAAAGTTCCTTCTAACGTCTCTGTGGCTCATGTGGGGTACTCAGTTTCCACCTGTGTCCCCTTGTTCGCGTCCCACCAGTGTTGAATAGTTTATCCTTGTTTACCCGGTCGATTCCTCTGAGGATTTTGTAGGTTGTGATCATGTCTCCCCTTACACTTCTGTCTTCCAGTGTCGTAAGGTGCATTTCCCGCAGCCTTTCCTCGTAACTCATGCCTCTTAGTTCTGGGACTAGTCTAGTGGCATACCTTTGGACTTTTTCCAGCTTCGTCTTGTGCTTGACAAGGTACGGGCTCCATGCTGGGGCCGCATACTCCAGGATTGGTCTTACATATGTGTGTGTGTGTGTGTGTGATATATATATATATATATATATATATATATATATATATATATAGGTTGTTGGACGTTGCTGGAACCATGCGTATTGGCATTTGCCTCTCTATTGGATAATTTCAGCAACGTGGAGAGGGGGGACCTGCTGCATGGGTAACAGCTTCTCCTCCATATCTACCTACCCAGGCTTTGCGCCCTGGAGAGGACACTCCAGCTTCGCCTCACAGCGTCGAACCAACACGGGAAGCGACAGTCTACCGGTTTTAAGTCTTCTGCTCGATTGGCGAAGAGTGTGACGCCAGGGGTTGCTTCCGACGGTGGGAGGGGTCATCGCGCCCCACTGGGCAGCTACCGCCCGCCTCAAGCTGGGCAAACCCCAGCCAATAAGGTGTTGCCTCGCCACGGTCCGTTAACCTCACTGGGTGCGTGGGGTTTAGGGTGAAAACTGACAAGCGGCCCGACAACTTTGCACCAAGCAATACCAAACCAAAGAAGAAAATATCAACTGCCCTAAAGCTGGGCACATGGAACGTCAGGACACTGACACCAGGTTTCTCTGACGACCTGCAAGAAATCAATGACGCCCGAAAAACAGCAATCATCGATAGGGAGCTGAGCAAGCTGCAGATGGATATTGTTGCTCTCCAAGAGACCAGGCTCCCAGGATCAGGATCTGTGAGAGAGAGGACCTTCTCTTTCTTCTGGCAAGGAAAACCTCCAGATGAGACCAGAGAACATGGTGTGGGATTTGCCGTCAGGAATGCACTGTTGGGACACATTATGCCACCGATGGGGGAAACCGAACGAATTCTGTCTCTGCAACTGTACTCCCAAACAGGACCAGTCAATGTAATTAGTGCATATGCACCAACCCTGACTTCTCCAGCAGAGGCAAAGGAAAAATTCTACGATGACCTCAACAGAGTCATAGCGAGAATCCCTGTAAAGGAGCCACTGTTCATCCTCGGCGACTTCAACGCCAGAGTGGGTGCCGAGCACAACATTTGGCCCACTTGCCTGGGTCAATTCGGCATAGGAAGGATGAATGAGAACGGGCAACGTCTGCTAGAACTCTGCTGCCTTCATGGTCTTTGTGTCACCAACACGTTCTTCGGCACAAAGCCTCAACACCGAGTATCTTGGAGACACCCCAGATCCAAGCACTGGCACCAGCTTGACCTGATTCTTACCAGGCGTGCAAGTCTACCCAGCGTCAAGATTACGCGTAGCTACCAGAGTGCTGTCTGTGACACCGACCACTCCCTGGTATGTAGCAGGGTCAAGATGCAACCAAAGAAGATTCATCACTCGAAAAAGGCGGGCAGACCTCGCATCGACACCACCAAGACCCGCAACCAGGACAAGGTGGAAGATTTTGCGCACGTGCTCGAGGAAGCTCTTCCTGGCCCAGCTGGGGTCACTGCCTGTAAAAGATGGGAGCACTTCAGAGACGCTGTGTTCAACGCTGCCATTTCCACCTTTGGCAAGAAGACCAGCAGGTCGGCAGACTGGTTCGAGGCTCACTCGGAAGAGATGACACCTGTAATCGAAGAGAAGAGAAACGCCTTGGCAGCCTACAAAGCCTGCCCAAGTCGGCGCAACTTACAGATCCTTCGGGCCGTCCGCTGCAAAGTGCAGCAGAGCGCCAGGCGATGTGCCAACAACTATTGGCTCCAGCTCTGCTCCCAGATACAGACTGCAGCGGATACAGGCAATGTAAGGGGAATGTATGACGGCATCAAGCAGGCCCTCGGCCCAATCCAGAAGAAGACCGCTCCTCTGAAATCTGCCACTGGCGAGGTGATTCAGGACCAGACACTGCAGCTGAAGCGCTGGGTCGAGCACTACTCTGAGCTATACGCCAGGGACAATGTGGTCACCGAAGATGCCCTGAGCGCCATTGAGTGTCTGCCTGTGTTAATGGAGCTCGACAGTGAACCGACCCTGGAAGAACTCAGCGATGCCCTAGACTCCCTTGCTTCTGGTAAAGCTCCTGGCAAAGATGGCATTCCTGCTGAGACCTTGAAGTGCTGCAGAGGTAGCCTGCTCATGGAGCTGCACGAAATTCTCTGCCTCTGCTGGGAAGAAGGAGAGGTGCCACAGGACATGAGGGATGCCAACATCGTCACACTGTATAAGAATAAAGGTGACAGGGGCGACTGCAACAACTACCGTGGAATCTCCCTCCTCAGTATTGTCGGAAAGCTGTTTGCTCGAGTCGCATTGAAGAGGCTCCAAGTACTTGCAGAGAGAGTTTATCCAGAATCACAATGTGGATTCAGAGCTGGCAGGTCCACCATCGACATGGTCTTTTCCCTCAGACAACTGCAGGAGAAATGCAGGGAACAGAAGCAGCCACTCTTTGTAGCCTTCATAGACCTGACGAAGGCCTTCGACCTCGTCAGCAGGGATGGCCTGTTCAAGATCCTCCCCAAGATCGGATGCCCACCCAGGCTCCTCAGCATCATCAGATCTTTCCATGAGAACATGAGGGGCACCGTGGTCTTTGATGGCCTAACATCAGGCGCCTTTGACATCCGAAGTGGAGTAAAGCAGGGCTGCGTACTGGCTCCAACCCTATTCGGGATTTTCTTCGCAGTTATGCTGCGGCACGCCTTCGGATCTGTCACGGAAGGCATTTACCTCCGGACCAGGTCGGATGGGAAGCTCTTTAACCTCGCCAGGCTGAGAGCCAAGACAAAGGTTCGGCTGAGGTGTCTGCGCGACTTCCTCTTTGCCGACGACGCAGCAGTCACTGCCCACTCAGCTGAAGACCTCCAACGGCTCATAACCCGCTTCAGCGAGGCCTCTCAGGCTTTCGGACTCACCATCAGTCTGAAGAAAACACAAGTCATGGGACAAGGAGTGGACTCCCCACCTGACATCGGCATCTCTGATTCCAAACTGGAAGTTGTTCACGACTTCGTGTACCTGGGCTCCACAATCTCTGACTCCCTCTCTCTTGATACGGAGCTAAACAAACGCATCGGTAAGGCATCTACTACCATGTCCAAACTGACAAAGAGAGTGTGGGCCAACAATAGGCTAACTGAGTATACTAAGATTCAGGTTTACAGATCCTGTGTCCTGAGCACTCTCCTTTATGGCAGTGAGTCTTGGACACTCCGCGCCCGTCAGGAAAGACGGCTGAATGCCTACCACATGCGCTGCCTTCGACACATCTTGGACATCACCTGGCAGGACAAGGTGACAAACAACAACGTCTTGGGGAGAGCAAGAATCACCAGCATGTACACAATGCTGAAACAGAGACGAATGCGCTGGCTCGGGCACGTTGTGCGAATGGGCGACGGCAGGATCCCCAAGGATCTCCTGTATGGAGAGCTGAGGCAGGGAAAGCGTCCAGTAGGCAAGCCCCAGCTACGGTACAAAGACGTATGCAAAAGGGACCTGAAAGCCATGGACGTCGATCTTGCTATATGGGAGACACTGGCTACAGACCGTTCAGCCTGGAGGCAGTCTGTTCAACGAGGTCTCTCCAAGTTCGAGGAGTCACTTGCCAAGGAATCGGAGGCAAAGAGACAGAGAAGGAAAGCCGGTAACCAGGAAGACAGACCAGAATCGGACTTCGTTTGTGCTCGGTGTGGGATGGACTGCCACTCTCGGATTGGCCTCATCAGTCACACCAGACGCTGCACCAGGATTGACAACTAGGGCGCAACTCCATAGTCTCCCGAGACTGAAGGATGCCTACTATATATATATATATATATATATATATATATATATATATATATATATATATATATATATATATATATATATATATATATATATATATATATATATATATATATATATATATATATATATATATATATATATATATATTATATATATATATATATATATATATATATATATATATATATATATATATATATATATATATATATATATATATATATATATATATATATATATATATATATATATATATATATGTCGTACCTAGTAGCCAGAACTCACTTCTCAGCCTACTATTCAAGGCCCGATTTGCCTAATAAGCCAAGTTTTCCTGAATTAATATATTTACTATAATTTTTTTCTTATGAAATGATAAAGCAACCCTTTTCTCTATGTATGAGGTCAATTTTTTTTTATTGGAGTTAAAATTAACGTAGATATATGACCGAACCTAACCAACCCTACCTAACCTAACCTAACCTATATTTATAGGTAAGGTTAGGTTAGGTAGCCAAAAAAAGCTAGGTTAGGTTAGGTTAGGTAGGTTAGGTAGACGAAAAAACATTAATTCATGAAAACTTGGCTTATTAGGCAAATCGGGCCTTGAATAGTAGGCTGAGAAGTGCGTTCTGGCTATTAGGTACGACATATATATATATATATATATATATATATATATATATATATATATATATATATATATATATATATATATATATATATATATATATATATATATATATATATATATATATATATATATATATATATATATATATATATATATATATATATATAATATGATAAAATCAATTGGAGCAGTGAGGGTGACTCGAACTAGCGATCACATTTACTGCACATCTTTTACCCCTATACCTTGACATAGAATAAGTTATGCAACCTTGGGAGGCCATTGAATGCACAGGAAGTCTCAAGTCTTCTACTGAAGGCAGTCCAAGTTTTAACTTAAAACCCCTCATGCACTTGGGGTGTAGGTAAAGTAATTCATAAATCAAGTGTATGCTCCAGCTTCAGATACACAAAGAAATTGCACTAATGTGATACACTATATATCAACGGGAAAATCAATTGGAGCAATGAGGTGACTCAATCCAGCGATCAGGGTATTCCCAGCCGTGCACCTTTACTCCATACCCGAACCTCCATATCTGAGGTTCAAGTCACTTCGATGCTCCAGTTAAATTAATTTTCTCATTGATATACTGTATATAACGTTGATGTGATTTCTTTGTGTATCTGAAGCTGGAGCATACGGTTCATGAACTACTTTACCTACACCAGTGTGTTTGGGGGTTATATGTAAAAACTTGGACTGGCTTGAGTAGAAGTCTCCAGACTTACTGTGGATTCAGTGGAATTCCAGCTGGGAGTACCGTGATTGATGTTTTGGGTCACCTTAGTGCTATATTTGATTTTCTATCTTATTAACCAGAACCATTGCTTCGAGTCTGATCTGAATTTGCCCGGAATTTGGGTTTCCAAATAGTTAGCCTTTATGAAGGAAGTCCCTTGTGGTTCCCTGAAGCTACTATCACTGATAGTGTACCATATACAGTACTAGATCTATTGGCCTACCGGGGACCTGCGCCAGTACCTGGTCCCCCTCACAGAGGCACAGGATCAGTGACATTTATTCAATGGTGCCACCACTGGGTAAGGCAACCAGAAAGTCAGCGAGACAAACCAGACCACTGCTAGCTTAAATAGACTGCAGCCTCGAGAACCACCGAAAGAACCTCTCCAACTAAGTAAACAAATGATCAAAATCTCTCCAACTATATAAACAAATTATTAAAATCTCTCTGGCTATGTAAACAAATGATCAAAATCTCTCCAACTATGCAAACAAATGATAAAAATCTCTCCAAGCTAGTGCAAGCTTGTTTGCCCCACCTCCCCTACTCGTATGGGGAGAGGAGTGAGGTAGCTTCCTGTCAGCCTGCTACACAACCTTCAGTTCTACGCTTACGTTAGTGTGTGCCAGGTTGCCTTTCTGTTGCTTGGGCTCCAATCTTGCTGTTTCAGCTATGGGGGTGGTTTTTTTTTTCCTTGCTGGCATTCCTGTACACTGTGAAGTGTAGCATGAGCCTGGATTTAAGAGTTCTTGTAGCTGTATATGCACAGAGTTGTCTTTCCTGTATACTCCCTATTGCTACCGTTGCGCTTCAGGGTTTTCTTCCGTGAGGTGTTTGGGGGTCAGTCCCTTAGAGGTTCTCCTTACCCGTGGTGGCTCTTGGCCAGGATGGATCAGTTGTCTTGGGATTTCCTGCCTTTACTCGGGTTAGGAGTGACATTGGCTGGCTTGGGGCACACTGGGTATTCGCAGAGTGGTTGGTCAATCCTTTCCCTCTTTTTGGGGTTTGGATTTTCCTGGTAGGCCTCCTTTCCTTGCCCCTTTCAAGTCATCTAGGATTAGGTGTTCTCCAGCATGGTTTCTCAGGTCCAGAACTGGGCCTTATCAGGGGCCCCCCAATTTATCATGGGCTTTTGACTCATCAGGGAGCTGCTGATAAATAAACAAAAAGGTTTTCCTCTACCACGCTGATCAATAAAAAAAAGTATTCCACTACTACCACCAGGGCACCAGCGGAGCATGCACTGGAGCGTCACCCAGTAAGGATCCTAAATATGGAGAAGGGGCTTCTTCCCATGACGTCGTGTCATCATGAGTTCACACCCAAACTGAGCAACAAGGACTTACCCAATCTCTTCTTATTTTGGGTGATCATCCTTTTTACATCATCCATTCTTGGGTTCACGTCTCGCTCCAAGACCGGCCCACCCCCCATGCCAAGGACTTTCCAATCTATTTCACCCCAAAAAATTCTTAGACCATTAAAATCAGCTTTTTGAAAATCTGGCACTTTAACAGAATTTTCTCCTACAAATCTATTCCATTCTATGCTAAATCTGATTTCTTTGTGATCACTGTTCCCTAGCTCACTTCCTATTTCGATATCATTAATTTGTTGTAATCCCTGTTAACACTAAGTCTAAAATATTATTTTCACGCATTGGTTGCTTAAGAAAGCAATACTGTAGTCATTTAATTCTAGAAAATCTTCTGCTTCATTATTTCCTGTTCTGTTAAACCAATTTATTCCACTAAAATTAAAGTCTCCCATGACACATGGGTAATTAAAGTCATCTGTTTGACCTAGATGCTCTAAATATTTCATCCCATAGATGCTCTGCTTCCATTCTGTCTAAGTTTGGTGGCCTGTATACAACTCCTATTATAAGATTTTTAGCTTTTTCATTTAATTCTACCCAAATAGTTTGTATGTGTAGCTCACTTTTGATTCCCTCTTTGAGACTACATTTCAAATTTTCCCTAACATATAAGGCTACTCCCCTTCCATGTCTAACATATGAAATACCTGTGTGAAATAGTGTAATTCCGTTTCAGCTAATAGTTCGATGTTTACTACATTCATCCATGTTTCTGTAAGTGCAATAATATCTATTGTTACTGTGCAGACAAAAGCATTTAAATGGTTTATTTTGTTTCTTAGACTACTACTGTTCATGTAATATACCTTAAGTGTATTGTTATTTTGAGACCCTTCTCTTTCCCTATTCATTTTACCATTTTTTCCTCTCACCAATGCATACTTTTATTGCTTCCTTTCTCCATATCAATTCCCATACCACCATTTACTAACAGTTTAATTCCAAACAAACCTTCAACCACCAGTTCCACTTGAGTTGGCAACAGCAACAACCCCAGTCCTAGATAAAAGCACCCCATCTCTAGCATGCATGTCATTCCTTCCATTGAAGTGTTCCCAGTTATCAATGAATGATATTGCATTTGATTTACAATATTTGTCCAGTTGGCAATTAACGTCAAGTGCCCTGGACAACCATTCATTTCCAACTCCCTTTCTTGGAAGAATGCCACTTATGATCAAGATTGCTCCCTTGCCCCTAACTAATTCTATGGCTGTCTTAAACCTCTGTATCAGTGCCTCACTCCTAACTAGTCCTACATCATTTCCTCCTGCACTGATTTAAACAATGGGTTTGTTCCCATTTCCAGCCATAATATCATTCATGTTGTTTACTATACCACCAATTCCTGCTCCTGGATAGGAAACCCCTTAACCTATTTCCCCTATCTATGGCACAAAAAGCTCTATCCAGATACCTCACCTGGGAATCTCCCACAACCAAAATTTGCTTACCTGCTTCCTTTACTTTGTGAGCACCTTTTAGGGGCCTGCACTCCCTTCGTTGCCTTGCCCTTCGAGCGAACTGTAGTCTTCCTACAGCACTCGTCTTCCTGTACGGCGAATGGGTTGGAAGTCTTTATGACAGCTCTATATGACTTTGTCAGAGTCTTCTTAAGACCCCTGTCTTTTATGACATTCCAAGACGAAGTTTTTCTACTGTTGCTCTCCTCATTTGCTTCCTCTAGACAATGTTTCATCTGTCTTAGCTCCTGCATTTGTCGTAGCTGCTCCTGCAGAGAATCCAACTCTGCCTTCAGAGCTCCACATAGCCTCCTAACTAGCACCAGTTCACTCACTACACTTTCTATTTTTAGTATCAAAACAATTGGAGCTCCAGCTAACACGCCCTCTCACTGTGACTGTATCTGTTACCAGTTTTGTAGTGTTATTCATGTACTATTTAAAGTTCCAAAGTTCTTGCTGTGCTTGTCAATCTTTATTCCCTTGTCCCTTGTTCCAAGGGCCAGGCTTTCTTCGGTCATCTGGCTGGGGGTTCAGTTCAGCCAGCTTGATGTGTTTTCCTGTATTCATGGTATCTACAGGCATGCTGCCAGTATTGCATTCTTTGCTAATATCGCCAGATACATGGAGCATTATGGGGGATCTCTGAAGTACAAGACCTTAATAGAATGTGGAGTTACTGTTGGCTACGTAAGGGGCCCTGACAGCTCAATGGACAGCGCTCGGAATTCGTAGTCCTAAAGTTCCGGGTTCGATCCCTGGTGCAGGCGGAAACAAATGGGCAGAGTTTCTTTCAACCTGATGCTTCTGTTCACCTAGCAGCAAATAGGTACCTGGGAGTTAGACAGCTGCTATGGGCTGCTTCCTGGAGGTGTGTAAAAAAAAAAAAAAGAGGCCTGGTCGAGGACTGGGCCGCGGGGACGCTATGCCTCGAAATCATCTCAAGATAATCTCAAGATATACCCAGAAAAGAGCATTTCATTACATTAAGCACTTGATTTTTTTTTCCTTTCTGAATCAACTCAACTTACTATAATTACCTTGTAGTTACCTTGTGTTTATATAAACTATGTAATATAGTGCAGTGTTAATAATGGTATTTTAGACTTGTGTAATAACTTACTAATAAATTGTTACAATTTGTCCTCTCAGAATTGAACACATGAAGGTATCAGAGCTGCCTGAGCTGGTCAGATGTGTGTTCAAAGACATAAGCCCTAAACTGGTAATCATAACAACACCTAATGCTGACTTCAACAAGTTTATCCCTGACCACATTCCAGGGTCTTTCAGGCATTGGGATCACAAGTTTGAATGGACTGCAGAGGAATTTCATCAGTGGTAAGCTCATTAGGATACTCATTTGAGTTTTGTTATGTATGTGTACACCACAAAGGTGATAAATGGACTATAAAGATAAATGGTTTAACCATGAAAGATGTAGAGTTGAATGTGTAACTACTCACTAACTCAAATCTATGAGAAACTCGGCCAAAATAATAATTAATAATTAATTTTGTTGGGGATAGGCAGCCTGTGTATGTATGTTTACCCAAGGTTGAACTACTGACCTTCTCCAGGATGCAACTCCACAACAGATGTCTTAACTACCAGGGGCCAGATTCACGAAGCAGTTACGCAAGCACTTACGAACCTGTCCATCTTTTCTCAATCTTTGGCGGCTTTGTTTATAATTATTAAACAGTTAATGAGCTCCGAAGTACCAGGTGACTGTTTATAACAATAACAACAGTTGATTGGGAAGTTTTCATGCTTGTAAACTGTTTAATAAATGTAACCAAAGCCGTCAAAGATGGAGGAAAGATGTACACATTCGTAAGTACTTGCATAACTGCTTCGTGAATCTAGCCCCAGGTACCTATTTAGTGTTAGGTGAAAGAAAACATGCCCAACCATTTCTGCTCTGCTTGGAATCAAACCTAGGATCTTTGATTGTCAGTCGAGAATGATGAAATAAATAAGAAACTTTAATAATTTATTAATGATAGTAACTTAAAAGATCCTGAGAGTCATTAAGACACTGTACAAGGTTCAGATATCCTAATGCAGGTAACGATGTTTCCAACGCAGAGCACACAGCTGCTCGTTTGGTGCATCCACACATCATGCAACAGGACTTCGTGTTGCTTTGGAATACTAACATGTAGAAAATTATTCATATTCAAGATTTATTGACCAGGGGCCAGATTCACGAAGCAGTTACGCAAGTACTTACGAACCTGAACATCTTTCCTCAATCTTTGACGGCTTTGTTTACAATTATTAAACAGTTGATGAGTTCCGAATCACCAGGAGGCTGTTTATAACAATAACAACAGTTGATTGGGAAGTTTTCATGTTTCTAAAGTGTTTAATGAATGTAACCAAAGCCGCCAAAGATTGAAGAAAGATGTACACGTTCGTAAGTACTTGCGTAACTGCTTCATGAATCTGGCCCCTGGATTCTGAGAATAATAGTAATGTTTTGTCTTAGTGGTAGTGGTGTGCGTAGTATATCGGGTGCCACTTTGCTTCATCAAGCACCGAGCATGTGGTGCTGTGCTCTGCCTGGATCACTGGTTATGAGATTATCACACCCTCCAGAATGGCTTAGTGGTTTGTAATAGTGCATAAACTTGTACATATTTAGATGTAATGTGTGTGAGTGTGTGCATGGTATGATAATAGCAAAACTATTATGTTTTATTGTTCTAATATTATATTGTGGTGTGCATCTTAATAACATGAATATATCTGTACCTACAGATGTTCTTCATATTCTGTGATACATATAACATGATTGAAAGCACAGTGCATTATTACACTCAAAAAACCATGATAAAATCATAACAAATATTAGTAAAATATATTCAAGGCATGAAGTTACAACTTGGTGCAAAATATGCAGGGCTAAGCTGAGCTTGGATCATTGGTTACCAGATTATTACATTCTCCAGAACTGCTTAGGTGTTCGTAATTAAGCATTAAAATGTAGATAGTTAAATATAATGTGTGTATATAGTATTATAGAAAAAGTGTGTTTTATTATTCAAAGAATATATTATGCACAGTGACACATATTTGTGTGTATCAATGGAGTTGTCCAGATTGGAGTTGTACTTGGACAAGGTGATCATTCTGGCTTCTTTCTGGCCAGCTCAGCCTGGTTTATGGATCTTCGGGCCTGGTGTCTAAACCCAGGCATTTTTCTGCAACTCTGCCTCTTTCAGCAAATTTGCTCAGCTACATACCTTGCTAGATTAACCTTCCCTTCTGCTCTAGCCGTCTAGTTTGATGCGGGTCTTTTACCATTTGTATGGTGAGCAAGTGGTCGGGTCATTGGTGTCCCACTTGTGTGTGTCTTTCAGGTGGCAGTAAAATACTGCCTGGTCATCACTTTGCCTCTTTCTGTTCCTTCGTCGGCTTTCTTCACTGTTGATTCCACAGATTTTCCCCCTCCCCGCTCAGCTCGTTGTCGCCGTGTGGGGGCTTGGTGGGCGGCTGCCGGAGTGTGATGCTCCTTGGGACAGTCCTGTCCTTTTCTAGCCTTGTGCTCCTGCTGCCGTCCTCTCCAATTCTGCTGGGCATCTTTTCCTTTTCCTTCTGTTTCGTTTTTCTCCCCCCTCTTCTCCTATCTGCTTGCCGTTTCCTGCCGACCTTTTGCTCGTTCTGGTTCTTCCCTTGGACTTCTTCTATTTTGACGCCCGGGTGCTTGAGGAGGCATACTCTTGCACCCGTAGAACTGCAGTACCCGACGTCGAGAGCGAGGGGAACCTTTTATTGTCAATCCCCACTTCGTCACTGAACCCGATCTCGACGGACTGTCGGTTTCTTAAGGTGGCGTTTGTGGGGCGTATACTCACGACGCACCCCTAGGAGGCCCCGACAAGATCGGCGATAGCTTCTTGTTGGGTGTCCTGCCTCTAATTGTGGCTCCATGGTGGGTGTGGGGGCACATTCGTGAGTGAATTCTTCTTTCGTCAAGATGATTACCCCTGCTTCGGCTTCTTCTGGTTTACCTTCTCAGGCTCGTGGGGTGGGCGACCAAGCCCCCGAGTCGGTCCGTATTGGAAGACCGGGCTCTGTAGCCTCCGCTGCATTGGGCCCCGACCTTGCTCCTCCTTTGGCCTCTCTGACTCCTTCCCCTGGCTCCCCTCCCTCCTCTGTGGTTGGGTCGAGCCCCAAGCCCCCAGTGGTGACTACCTCGTCCCCTGGCGCGGCTCCTTCTCTCGTTGTTACTACTGCGCCTTTTAACCCCTCTCTCTCTGGGGGTTCTCACCGCCGTTCTCGTCACGGCCGCCCTCGCTCGATTCCTTCCAGTTCTGCTACCTATCAAGCCTTGTTTGGTCCCGCTTCGTGGGCCAAATATTTTGATCTCCTCCCTCTTGATTCTGCGCCTCCTGACGATTTCTCCCTTCATCGACATCTCATTGATTCCGTGGATGCCTCCATTACTTTTAACCCCACTCGTCTCGGTACGCGTGTCGTTGCTGCTCCTTCTCAGGATGCTGCTTCCCGCTTGGCTGCCTTATCCTGCCTTGGCGAGACCCCCGTTCGGGTCTCGAAGAACGTCCAGTTGAATGCCAGTGTTGGCACTATTTTGCTCCCGCCCCATGTTGCGACCGGTGTTCGGGACCTACGCGACTGCCACGACGATATTCGACATATCCTCGCTGCCCAGGGCCATTCTATTCTCCAGGTGGACACGTTTACTCGTCCCCCTCGTGGTAGTCGCCGTCAACCCCTCCGGGTTGTGAAGATTACCTTTGATGGTAGGACCCTTCCACCCTCTGTCATTCTTGCTGGTGCCAGGTGCTCTGTCCAGGAGTACATTCCTTCTCCTCGGCTCTGCAACAAGTGCTGGAGGTTTGGGCATGGTGCCCTCCGCTGCTCCGGGACTGTCTCTCTCTGTCCTTTGTGTGGTGGCGAAGGTCACTCTAAGTCGGAGTGCGCTTCTCCCCAGGCTCGTTGCCTCAACTGCGGTGAGGCCCATCCTACCTTCTCCCGTGCGTGTGTCCATTACAAGCTTGAGGCAGCCGTCCTCAACTTGAAGCACCGGGAGCGTTTATCTTTTCCTGAGGCGAGGCGCCAGGTTCGCCGGCTCCCGCCTTATGCTAATATCTCTTATGCTCGCGTGTTGCGCTCTTCCTCTCCTCGTCCTTCCCGCCTTCCTCAGACTCACAACCGTTTCCAGGCCTTGGACCCTGATGCGCCCACTGCCCCCTCCTCTGTCCCTTTGGGTTCTCTCCCGAAGGATCCTCCTCCTGGTCCTCTGTCTGGGGTTCCCCTTCCTTCTACCCGGTCTGTCGTGTCTTCTGTGTCTCCTTCCTCGTCCCCCTCCGATCCTCCTTCCCATCCTCTTCCTCCATCTATCGGCTCTCCCCGCCGCCTGTCGGTGCGGGCGGATGTCCATCGCTCTCCTAACGGCCGTCGTGTGTGCTCTCGTTCGGCTTCTCCTGTTGAGACACTGGAATCCGTTGCCCGGTACGTAGTTGCTGGGACACCGGTCCCTTTAAGTCAGAAGCGTAAGCCTGGCTCCTCTCCTTCCTCTTCCCCGGCGGGTAAGAAGGCTTCGCTTTCTTCCTCAGCTCCTCCTTCTGGCTCTGTTGCTCCTTCCACTCCCGTTTCAGTGCTTGCGCCCCCTGTTCCTGCTATGGAGGTTTCTTTGGCCCCTGCTTCCCTTTCGGTTGCTGCTCTTGCTGGGGTGCTCTCCTCTCTTTCTACTCCCCCTCTTCCTGCTGCTGTCCTTGACTGCTCCTCTCCGTTGTCTCCTCCTCCTCCTCCTCCTCCTCCTCCGGACCCTGCCCGCCCACCTCTGATCTGTTCTCCCGTTTCCTTCCCTCCGTCTTTGCTCAGTTTACCCATGCCCCCTAACCCTGACTTTGCTGACCCTGATCCCGACCCTGATATTCTTTAACGTGCTCTGTTGGTCTTTCGCCTTTGTTTCTTCCTTGTTCTCTGTTTTTGTCCTTTCTCTTCTCGTCGTTGTCCATTCTTCAATGGAACGTTCGAGGTTATTACGCCAATTTCCTCGAACTCCAACTTCTGGTTTCGCGGTTTTCGCCCCTTTGTGTCTGTCTCCAGGAGCCGATGCTTGGTGCTCGTCCTGGTCGTTTTCGTGGCTATTCCTTTCTCTCCCCCCCCCCAGCCATTGCTGGGGCTTCTAATTCTTCTGCTCTCTTGATTCGGGCTGATGTTCCCTTTGTTCCTTTACTTTTTCCTTCGCCTCTCCATTGTTCTGCTGCTCGTATCTTTGTGGGGAAATGGTACACAGTTTGTTCCATTTATCTCCCCCCGAGTGTCCCGCTCTCTCTTCCTGATTTGAAACACCTCCTAGACTCCTTGCCGGAGCCTGTGCTCCTGCTGGGTGACTTCAATTGTCGTCATTCTCTTTGGGGTGACGTTCTGACGAATACCCGGGGTCGCCTCCTTGAGCCGTTTCTCCTCTCTTCTTCCCTGTCTCTTCTGAATTCTGGTGAGCCCACTCATTTGGACTCTCGAACTCGCACCCTTTCTTGTCTTGATCTTTCTCTCTGCTCTTCTTCTCTTTACTTAGATTTCACATGGCAGGTTCTTGATGACCTCCATGGAAGTGATCATTTCCCCATCCTTGTTTCCTTTTTCTCTTTTCGCCCTTCCCTCTCTTTCCCTAGATGGCAGTTTGCTAAGGCGGACTGGACCCTGTTTTCCCTCAGTGCTACTCTCTCTGACCTCTCCCTTCTGCCCCTCTCTCGCGCTCTCCTCCTTTTTCATGACACTGTCTTCGACGCTGCCCTCCGCTCTATTCCTCGCTCTTCCTCTCGGGGTCCACGGAAGTGCGTTCCCTGGTGGAATGCGGACTGTGCTCGGGCTGTCCGCTGTAAGCGTGCAGCCTGGAAGAAGCACCGCCGTAGGCAGACGACCGATTCTTTTCTTTTCTTTCGGAAAGCGAGTGCGGTGGCCCGTAGGGCCATCCGTACGGCTAAACGTGAATGTTGGGCTTCTTATATCTCGACAATTACGTCCGAAACCCCTCTGGCCCAGATCTGGAAGCGTATCCGCAAGATAGCGGGTAAGTTCGTTCCCGATGTTTCACCGGTCCTTCACCTCCATGATACTCTTGTGGCGGACCCGTTGCAGGTCGCTTCCGAACTGGGTTCCCACTTTTCTTCTGTTAGCTCTGGTCTTCATCTTCCCCAATCTTTCCTTCTTCGTAAACCTGTCCTTGAGTCTCGTCCTTTAGATTTCTGCACTCATCTTCAGCTTCCCTATAATGATCCCTTCTCTCTCTCTGAACTTCGTTCTGCCCTGGCCCTCTGCGGTTCTACGGCGGCGGGCTCCGATGGTATTCATTATGAGATGCTTCGCCATCTCCCTCCGAGCACGTCTCAGTATTTACTGAGTCTGTATAATCGGATCTGGGAGTCGTCGTCAGTCCCTGAGGACTGGCTCGATGCCGTTGTCCTCCCTGTTCGCAAACCAGGGTCTCTGGGTACTTCCCCTAAGGACTTTCGCCCTATTGCTCTCACAAGTTGTGTCTGCAAACTCTTTGAACGTATGGTTAACGTTCGTCTGATGTGGTTCCTGGAACACCATCACCTCCTCTCCCCTTCTCAATTTGGTTTCCGCAAGTGCCGCAGCACGACAGATGTCCTGGTGAACTTGGAGGTCTATATACGTACTGCTTTTGCTGCGAAGACCTCCGTTGTTGCCGTCCTTTTTGACCTAGAAAAGGCTTACGACACCACTTGGCGTTATCATATCCTATCTCAACTTCATTCTTTTGGCCTTCGTGGTCATCTCCCTCTCTTTCTCCGCAGCTTCCTCTCTCGTCGTTCCTTTCGGGTGCGCCTTGGTACCGCTCTCTCTCCCCCTTTTCAGCAATACGAAGGTGTGCCCCAGGGTAGTGTTCTGAGCACTACTCTTTTTCTGGTTGCCCTCAATGGTCTTCTTTCCTCTCTTCCTTCTGGTGTCTTCTCCGCTCTCTATGTCGATGATCTTACCCTTTGTTGTCAGGGTGATGATTCGCCTCTCCTTCAACGCCGGCTTCAACTTGCGATTGATGCCGTGTCGTCTTGGGCCACAGGTCATGGCTTCAAGTTCTCTACTTCTAAGACTTGTGCCATGACTTTTACGCGGAAACGGGTTGTTCTTCGTCCCTCTTTGTCACTTTATGGTCATCCCCTTGAATACAAAGATTCCGCGAAGCTTTTAGGGTTATTCCTTGACACTCGTTTGTCTTGGTCTCCCCATATCTCTTACCTCCGTGTTGAGTGCTCTAAGTCCCTTACCCTCCTTCGGGTCTTGTCCCATACTTCTTGGGGGGCAGATAGGCGCACTCTCCTTGCTTTACATTCCTCTCTCGTCCTGTCTAAGCTCGATTATGGTTGCCCTGCTTACTCGTCTGCTTCTCCTTCTACTCTTCGCCGTCTTGATGCTTTGCACCATACTGGGTTGCGCCTCAGTTCTGGTGCCTTTCGTTCGACTCCCGTCCTTAGCTTGTATGTTGACACTGGCTTCCTGTCTCTCCAGGACCGCCGTGATCGCTACTGTCTTCGGTATCTTGCGCGGTCCTTGCAACATCCTTCCTCTCGTCTCTGTCGTGCTTTAACTTTTACCCCTCCTGCGGTTCCTGTTCCTCTTCACCACCTCCCTCTTTCTGTCCGGTTATCTCGCCTGCAGGATTCTCTTTCCGTTCGTATTTCTGATGTTTCTCCTCGTGTTGTTCCTTCTTTGCCCCCGTGGAGGGTCCCTCTTCCGCGGTTTTGTACATCCTTGACTCGCATCACTAAAGCTTTTACCCCTCCTACAGTTCTCAAACGCCTTTTCCTCGAGCACTTTTCTTCTCACTCCCGCTCCGTTTCTGTCTTCACCGATGGGTCTAAGTCAGCGGACGGTGTTGGCTACTCTGTTGTTTTTCCTGATCGCACTTATATGTGTCGCTTGCCTCCGGAGACTAGCATCTTTACAGCGGAACTTTATGCTATTCTCTATGCTCTTCGTCTCCTACTTTCTCGTTGTCAGTCTTCCTTTGTAGTTGTTGTTGACTCTCGTAGTGCCCTCATGGCTCTCGGGTCCTTTAATCCAGTTCATCCAGTGGTTGTCGAGATCCAGCATTGGCTGTTTCTCGTTCATAGTAAATTTAAGTCGGTTGAGTTTTGTTGGGTTCCCAGCCATATTGGTGTGTCTTTAAATGAGCGTGCGGATGCTGCCGCCAAGGAAGCTGTCCGCTCTTGTCCCATCTCTCGTAAGGGCATTCCGTATTCCGACTTTTACCCGGTTATCCATTCCTCAGTCCTTACCCGTTGGCAGGCTTCTTGGTTGTCTGTTACTGGTAACAAGCTACGTACTCTTAAATGTTGTGTTTCCTCGTGGCAGTCCTCCTTCCACCGTAACCGGCGGTGGGAAACAGCTCTGGCGAGGTTGCGTATTGGCCATACTCGCTTAACCCATGGTCACTTGATGGAGCGCCGCCCTGCTCCTTATTGTCCTAGTTGCATTGTCCCTCTTACGGTCGTGCATGTCCTTCTTGAATGTCCTGACTTCCAGGACGAGCGTATGTCTTGCTTTCCGACCGCCCCTCGCGGTCACCTGTCCCTCGATAGAATTCTTGGTGACTCGGATACTTTTGATATCGTTCGCCTTATGCGTTTTTGTTCTCGTATTGGCATCCTTGGTGATATTTAGCGCCCTCTGATTATTTTGCGTATTTGATGGTGCTACATAGCCTTCCCGGTTTGGTGCCTTCTTTTGATAATTACTTACTTACTTACTTCCACAGATTTTTCAGTGGAACAGCATCTTCTGCCTACTAATGTCATATCTTATCATTCAGCATTGACTGAACGGGAAGCTACTGAGGAGTCCCTCCCAGAAATAGGTTTGAATGTAATAAAACTTCCATTCCTGATAGGTCCCCCAGATACCAATGTTTTCTTGGTAAGGATGACAATAATTGTCCCCAGCTCCTTGTACCTCTGTGACCAGAGCCCAGAGACCAGGTCTCTGATCTCTGGTCTGGTAGGCCAAACAGGACTCCTGTGGCTGGCATGATTCAGTAGTGGGGAACCATCTCAACGCAATAGCTTTAGGGAAAACCAGAGCTACCAGAAAGAGGCATTTCATTACATTCAGCACTAGTTTTTAGTATATTGTACTTGTCTTTTTTAATTTTAGATGCCTTATTTAACAGAAGTGTTTGAAACGAGATTTTGTACAGTAACTGTTGGAAAAGAAATAGCCTAAAATGCAGATAGATGGAGCTTATTTTATATTTCTACTCAGAATTTGTTTTTTCATTTACAGGTGCCAAGAAATTGTGCAGAATAATAGTGGTTATTACCTGGAGCTGTCTGGGTGTGGATTGGGACCTGAAAACACCTATTGCACACAGATGGCAGTCTTTGTACAGTCCTCATTAGGCCAAGAGAATTTATTGCCTTGCTTCATAAAGGAAGATGTGGCTTTTGATACTTTTTACCATAAGTCTGTGTGTACAGAAGAGATCTCAGAAAGTGCAGCTATTTCTGATGTATCTAAGAATTCATTCACTATAATATCTGAATTTGACTACCCACTTGACACACGTACCCAAGAAGAACAAGACAGAGATCACACATTAGCTAGATTCCATACTCTGAAGGCCTATCTTTACTCTAGGGAACAGAGTCTATGTCTTGACAGGGAAGGAAATACAGAAGTGGTCATGAGAGGAGAGAGAACAGAAGATACAAGGCAATGTAAAGCAGAAAGAAAGAAGCTAGCAGATATAGAACAAAGGAAGAAAAAAGAGGATATTTTGGAAAGGAATATTAAAAATGACTTTGAAACCACAAATTTCGACCTAGATGAACTTCCTCTAGGGACCCTCTCCTTGAAGAGTCAACTTCCAGAAACAACACCCTGTTCAGGAGATGGTGAGCTGATATATTTTGCAACGGAACATGTTGAGAGTGAAGAAGCAATTGATTGGAATAAGGGAACTGATCATGAATTTTTTTTCTTTATAATAAATGACAAATATGCTGTCATTCCAGGAAAATCGCTCTCAGCATGGGTGAATAATTCTTCAGACCATAACATATCAAACAATTTTATCAGGTACAGTTAAATGTAATGCTGGATAAGAGTTTATAATATATTTTGTTTTGCAATTGAAGTTGTTAGAGGGTGTTGAGAGTACAGTACTGTTAATATAAGGACAAAGTTTTAATTTAAGAGATACATGTACAGTAATTGCATGTGTATACTGTGCCAATTATGTTCATGTGGTTTTCACAACTCTATATCGGTATAATGAAGTATATAAGGTCAGTCATTCATCATTTGATCATCATAATAAAGGGCCATTGGTCCATGTGAGGCCAATATGCTTTATATGAACTGCCTCGCATGGGCCAATAGGCCTTCTGTAGTTCCTTTATTATTATCTTCAAATGATGATTGATTCACCTGGTATACTGTACTTCATTACAACCTTAAGGAGTTGTGAAAACCATATGAATGTAATTGGTATGTATATCGTGTAATTATAATGGGATTTTATACATATTCCTTCATACATTCATATCAGTAAAAATGATTGACTAGACATTTAACATCATGAAATGTCGGGCTCATGGTATTGAGTGCTGGTGACTGCAGGCATTGACGATGACAGATGGGTGGGGTGGGCTGCCACAAGCAGAACTTGTTCAGTGCATGAACCCTACTAGAATGCAGATACTCTATTAGGTTTATTTACACTTCTGTATATTTTTCATCCAAATTAGTCATTCTATAAGGAAAAAATATATTTATATATTTTTGTGCACATAGGCAAGTATGGGTTTAAATCGAATGCCAAACATTGAGGGTTAAGTATAAATCATAAAAATAAGTAATACATACATACACGTAATATATAAGTTATAATATCTACCAAATGCATTATGATCAGCTCACGTGAAATAAAACATAGAAAGTCAAGACAGTACAGTAATTAAAAATGAGGATCTTTAGACAGTATGTCTCTAGAAGAGGACAGCATACCCATATGATCACACTTTATAATCTTCTAAAATCTAGTTGTATATTTTCAGTTTAGCAGTTGAAGACGAGTGTTTCGAGGTAATTGCTGATGGTGAGAACTGGCAGGTAAAGATACAACTTTGGGAAGAATCGGATTATTCTGCAGGTGAAAACAAGTATGATGAAGACTCTGCTGAAGACGTGAATGAAAATGATGAGTATGGATGTTATACTGATGATGAGCAAAGCAGCAATATGGACAAGTTTGATTGTGAATGCAATGACAATGTTGAAACTCCATTCAATTTTAGAGATGAAGACTGGGACTGGGATAGGGCAGGATTAGCAGCAGATGTTAATGAAGATGAAAATTGGAATTAGATGACAAAGGGGGTAAAATAAATTTATACAATTCCAAGAAATGGATTTGTGTGTACATAATGGTATCATTCCAGGTAATATGACTGGAAAAGTTACTTTGAATCACTATGTAAAAGTATCCTTATACGTATCAAGCTCGTAACTTCTTAAGATAATAGTTATTTACACAAAGGTCAAATCCAAATTTTTCATCGAATCATTATTTGAACAAAAATCCAAGAATTAAATCCCATTGCTGTTAACTCGAGCTATTGAAGCTTGCGTCTTCATTGTTTTCCCAAAATGAATTTTGTTGTGTATTAACTGCAAGACATATTACTGCAGGTGAAGTATTTTTCATATTTATATTTTACTGTAGATTCTCAGGAAATCTACAATAATATATGTACATTACTGTAGATTTACAATATTCATACATTACTGTAAGAAATCATTACATTACTCAAGAAATCAAAATGACTTTCAATTTATGTTAGTATTGTAGATCAGTTATTAATGGGAATAAATCCAACAGGAGTGTTGATGAGGGTTCGAACATGAGCGCTGGGTGTTTCCAGTCACGCTCTAGTCGACTGCATCACGACACGGTAAAATGTCGACTGTGGGAAGAAATGTCTAGTCGACTGCACTGCGACATGGTAAACCATGTCGTGGTGTAGTCGACTAGAGCGCCTCTGGGAACACCCAGTGCATAGGTTCGAACCCTCATCAAGGCTCCTGTTGGATTTGTTCACTGATATATCATGTTAATGTTATGTCTCTGTGTAGTTATTTATGTATTATTGTATCAGGAAGTTTTCTTTATAAATTATGATCTATAGCATTATCACAGCAATTTGTAATGTATGTGGGAATTAATTAAAAAGGTCAGACCATAAAGCAGTTTGTGGGTACAGTAGTGGGAAAGAAATTGTTGTACAGGGTGTTAATGCAATGACTAAGTTTCTAAATTATTCTTTATCATGTCAGAATTATTCGTCTTCATGATTGAAGTTTATTCAGTTCCATCTTTAGTAGAATATTGTAATTACAGATACCTAAGTGTAGTTACTGGATGAGAACTATGCTTGTGATGTTTCGTCTTCCCATTACTTTTTATCATATGACACTTTGAAACTAATGATGGTTTTGGCCTTCACTTCCTTTTCACTTAACCATTTTTCACTTTTCACCATTTACTGCTCTGTTCGCAAATTTTCTTTTATTTTTTCGGCACCTATGTTTCCTTATTGTGAATCCATGACCTCATGTTTTTTAGTTACAGGTGTCAAAAATTCTTCTTTGTCAATTTTGATGATTCCTGTTACCATTTTGTACATAATGATCATATTGCCTTTTTTTTTTTCCTTCCATGCTTAATGCCTCCAAACTCTCCTCATAGTTCATGTTTTTAAGCTCCTGGAGGCATTTAGTAGCATGCCTTTATTCCATTTCTTATTTATTTATTTGCTTCTTGCGATATTAGCCTTCGCTACTGCATATACCAGTACTAATTTTGATCTCACAAATTGCGTGAACTGTTTTTTAATATTTCTACATCCACATATTTAAGCATGGTTCTGAAATCAATGCAAATTATTGAAAAATAAAACAAAACAGTACTTATGCAAAACAGCATAGGCACTGCTTACAGTCCCCCTTCATGTAGTCGTCTGGTGATAGTTTACTATTCAGAACTGTTACTCGTTCTCTTTCATTGTCATTGGTTTTTAATATCTTTTAACGTAATTTATCTGTTCTCTCCTATTCTGCATTCCATTATGTGACATAATGTATATTGAATTTCATCTGCCATGTGTTGCTCCACTCACTCATTGTATCTAGATCATTTTGGAGGGCAATACAGTCTTCCAAGTCCCCAAATTTCCCTAACAAATTCAATCATCTACAAACATGTTCATGTAATTCCTATGGTAGATCATTTATATTGTTAATAAACATTACTGGTGCAAGAACTGAACCTTAAGGTACTCTGCTAAGGACATTTTTCTAGTCAGATACATTGCCAATCACTGCTTGCTTTTGTCTATCTGTAAAAAATTTCTCATCCAATTTACTTCCAGTATGGGTGTAGTCAGTCCCATTTTTTATGTGCTTATTTTATCAGGAGGCCTGGTCGACGACCGGGCCGCGGGGACGCTAAGCCCCGGAAGCACCTCAAGGTAACCTCAAGGTAGGTAACATTTAAGGGTAATTGGAAAGATTAATGTTTACAATTGTCCTGTACTGCAGCTAGTAATTGTATATTGCACAGGATACTAAACAATGACAAATATACAACCCTTCAAATTGTATGCTTCTGAATTGAGAATAATTTTTCTTTGTTTAAGAATGAATTTATTAATTATTTTTAGTTCTTGTTATTAGGATGCTGTTTGGCATTATGCCAATACTAGAGGATAATAATAGTTAATCTTGGGATCTGAATATATTGTGTTTGCCAGATTTTTAAATATGGCAAAAATCAACCCTTTAATTAAGCCTGGTAATTGAAAATTAAATAAATATCCTAGTTACTCTTGAATTATTAAGGTTTCAAGGTTACTTATACAGTACCAAGATTAACTAATTCATAATTTGAAGTGCTTTGCAATTTCATCCAGGTCAGATTAATTGATTTTGTGCAATTAAGTCACATTATTAACACGGTTGAGGAGTCCAGTTCTATTCCTGAAAAGGATAGAAATGGTTGGGCACATTTTCTTTCATCTCTAGCAGTAATTAGGTACCCAGGAGTTAGGCACCTACTGTGGAGGATGCATCCTGGGGAAGATCAGTAGTGCGATCTTGGGAAGACCTCGATGCAGGTCTAAAGTACTGCATATGCAGTGTATATGTAGGCGTCCTGTCTCCAACAAAACTAATTACAGTATAAATTATTATACTGTATAATACTGTATTTTACCTTGTGCCTTATTTTTTAGGTCAGAATAACAAGTATATTTTCTTTCATCACTAGTCTTCTCTGGGAAGGACCCCTATGTATTTCTTCGAATCTAACTCCGATTCCACCAAGCATCTCAGACCCTTCCGTTGCTTACCAGAATCCGGCTTTCTATTAGGTGAGGGGAGTGCAAGGATCAAAGGTCAACCATAAAACTGATGAAACCAACCAAAATACATAGGCACAACAAAACTAGTGACTGCTTGAAGGAAATTAGGCACCCACTAGGTCAACAAAGAAAATAATTGTTGCCATGGGTTGAATACCCTGATTGATTTGCTTGACTTCCACTAGGTGACAGGCCAGGTCACTTGAGATCTCCGCTATCTTGTTCCTCATTCTTTTACTTCATATCAGTTCAACACCGCTGTCCCCCTCTGCAAGACCCATTGACAACTCAATTTCAGCTAAGTGGATTTGGCTTTTACTTCAACATTTTGCACACATTCTTGCACAGGCTCCCATGTGGCTGGTTCCACCCAAGAGTCCAAGCCTTCTCACTAGTTATCCCGGTTGGGTTTTTTTCCCTGGGGCTTCACCTCTTCTTGGGGTTTGCCAGTGCATTCTGCTTCATTGGTTCATTGGCTCTCTACTGTTCATTTGTGTACGAGGTATGCCAAAGTAAACTGGTTTCTTTTTTTTTTTACTGTGGTGTTATCTTTTCTGTCCTGGCTCTTCTTGATTTGCTGATTGCTGGCTACACAGTAATCACTCAAAATTAGGATCATATTGGGCAGATTCCTATGAGGTATTCATTTATGCAAGTTTCATGGAAATTAGAGCTGAGCAGTTCATGTACTATCTCCACATCAAATTTGGCCTTGGTGGCGACACCCTTACTAGTGTTTAGAGTGTGTGTGTGTGTGGGGTGGGGGGGTGTCCTAGCTTTCTAAAATTGTATTTGGTGTTCTTTGACCTTCACCACTTGGGTTGGATGGTAAAGCAACGGTCTCGCTTCATGCAGGTTGGCATTCAATCCCCGACTGTCCTAGTAGTTGGGCACCATTCCTTCCCCCAGTCCCGTCCCAAATCCTTATCCTGACCCCTTCCAGTGCTATATAGTTGTTTTGGCTTGGCGGTTCCCCTGATAATTCCCTTCCAGCCAGGAGACACTTATGATCTCGGTCCTGTTTTGCTCACTTAGCCCTAACCCCAACAGTGAGATATGCTTGTTGTCTCTCACATATATTGTTCCAAACATCTTCATTCTTTGGTTTGGGCCTTCCTCTCCTGCTGGTCTTCACCCATGAATTTGCTGTCTCCTCCTCCTTTGGAAAAGTTGATATCCTTTAATGAGGTGCTGTTGTGAGCAAGCTCGGGAAGCTACTGAGGAGTCCCTCCCAGAAATAGTTTTGAATGTAATAAAACTTCCATTTCTGATAGTTTCCCCTTGTAGCTCCTCATCCTGTTCCCTCAGGTGACCTAGGCTACCATCTAGTGGTGGTCAGGTACATCAAAGTCAGGGTATTTTCCCTGACTGATTTACCCTATTTATCAGGGTATTTACCATCCACGGGTTATGATATGTTGGGCTGCGTCTTGATGTGCTGACACCTGGTGGTCTCAGAATTAAGCTTTGGAGATGCTGGTGGCCCACAAAAAATAAGTTTAATTACATTTACTACCTCATTTTTTATCCTCTTTCTCCAAAGCAATATATGCAGTTTTAAAATTTAAGTTCCAAATTATTTTCAATAAAAATCATACATCATTGGCTCATATGAAAGTGTACTGTACAGTACAGGTACTTCAGGTTCTGTGATTTAATTTTATGATGACAAATATTTTATGTTAAGGGAAATGTACAATTTTACATTATATTTATTGAAAAGAGGAAAATGTACAATTTTATATTTTATTTATTGAAAAGAAAAAAATGTAACATTTTATATTTTATTTATTGAAAAGAGCTAAAATATTTTGTGGTAAATTTAATTAACCCTTTGTAATAAAAATGAAACAAATACACAAGGAAATCACTAATATATCACAGAAAAAATCAGTTGGAAAAATGCAGGGGGAATTCGAACCCTTGATTTGGGTACAGGTACTTTTAAACCATGCATTCTCCACTTAACTATGACATGGTGAAAGTTACATATCCTGGGATTCCACTGAATTCAGAGGTTTTTTTATTTTTCTCCTAATTAAATACTGTAGTATGTTTAGCTTCAAAATTGTCAATAGTTATTCTATTGTTACGAAGCGTCATAATGAACATTGTTAACTTGGCGCCACTCTATAGTGGCGCCAAGAAGGGAATAAGAGATCACCCTAACCCAGAAAAAGCAGCCACCAGGAGGACAGGCGAGACCAAACAATCAACAAGGTAAACAAATCCTAGAAAATGAGATTGAACAACATAATGGGGGACTCCTGCTTCAACCTTGACGACGAGCGGACACCTGGACATCTCCGTCTGGGAGCCGCCGGATCGTGCTCTGTTTCGCGATTTTGGATTTTGATACTACCGTTTGGCATTCCTATTCAACGGTCTGGATTGTTACGACGCCTGGGACACATCGCCCTGAGTCACAGGATAAATGATAGACTTTGAACGTTTTCTGGCTGGTTCTTCAGGCAGGGTGACGGTGTCCGGCGCCGGCTTGGCCGAGAGGTGACGGGAATTGGTGAGCTCATGGTGTGCCCTCAACCGTGATCGGCGGCTGCCAAGTTCAAGTTCAAGTATGTTTATTGAGACAAGAAAAGAATACATCTCAAAGGGATAGAGTAGCTTAGGCTATTTCTATCCCCCTGGGCGGCTGCCTTATGTTCTGCCCGGGGGGCACTGGATTACTTGCGTTTTAGTTGGGGTCGAGTTTTTGGTTTTGCTACTCAGTTTTCTATGTGGGGCGGGGCTGGTGCTTGCTTCCCTATTGTTGATTTATGGCCGACGACGATCGTGGGATCGGATGCGCCCCGGCGTACTCGGTAAGGGTTAATCGCGAAGCCCGGAATGTTGAAACGCCAAGCCAAATCGCAAAACAAATGACGCCAATCACTGGAAACTAATATGCCATGCGGTAAAGAAACTCAGACAGGCAGATGATTGGGGAGCTACAGGAGTCCCTCAGGGTGACAAGCACTGCCCCCCCCCTTCCCGACACAGAGAACACGGTAGCAAAAACAGCCCCCAGCTAAAACGCAAAAGTCATATAGTGTCCTCCGGCAGAGCAGAAGCCAGCCGCCCACCACGACTGAGGGCACACCAGGAGCCCATCAAGACCTGCCAACCCCCGGCCCCTTTCGGCCAAGCCGGCCTCCGAACACCGTCACCCCGCCGGAAGAACCAGCCAGAACACGTAAAAAAAAAAATCTTGCCAACAATCCCATGACCCAAGGCGATATGTGCGCCAGGCGTCGTACAACCGGACCGTTGAATAGGGATGCCAAACGGCAGTAGCAAAGCCAAAACGCGTAAACGGAACGTGATCAGGCGGTTCCCAGGCGGAGGTGGTGTCCAGACGTCCTCTCGTCGTCAAGGTTGAACCAGGAGTCCTTTACCTCCCTAAGGGGACTCTTGGGGCTCCATAATCATCTGCCCATCTGTGCGTTTATTTACAGCAAGGGACATTTGTTTCCGCTGATAAACAACATTCATTTCGCGAGTAACCCTTCACGGGTATCCGATCCTATGATCGTCGTCGCCCCTAAATCAACATCATCATCAACGGTACTTCTCCGTGGGTAGAAGAAGGGGTTTTGCAGGTGCCACTTTTGGAGGAAATTGATTGATGTCAACCTCAACCACAGATGGCAGCACCTTAGACTATTTTTTACTTATTTTTATTTAAGTAACATAAACGTTCATATAACTTTCATTTTTTATTCAATTTACAGGAAATTTACACCTTATATGTAGAGTTTATGTCTAGAAATTGTGGCCAGCGTTTTTTCCTAAGTTCATTTATTGATTTTATAATAGCAATAAACATGATATTTATGCATATTTTTTGGGAGGAAATTATTTGTATTAGTAAAACTAAACATATTTTGGAAAATCCGCGGCATCAGATCCTTTATTAAATGCTAATGTGGCAGAAAAGTGTCATAGAATGATTATATCTGAAAGATGTGGTTGTATATACACACTTGAAAATGTGTAATATTCGTTGAAAAAAATCCTTTCTATTTAGGCTGCAGTACTGAAACTTGGAACAATTGCAGCCCTTTTCATATACAGCTACAGTAGTCAAAAATATTGGTTGACATTGAACAACTTAAAACAAAAAGTTCTATTGCTCCCTTACATCTGTCCAGGAAGAGTTTCAGAACGGTTTGCATTTAAGAACAGGGTTTTGTAAATGCAAATGGCACAAGAGATTGTGTGGCGTGAGTATTTAATATAAGGAGCTTCTCAGTGAAATTAGTATTGTTGTCAAAGTTGTATTCACATCCCTTGGTGGTGGGCGGTGGAAGGGGAAGGGAACTATCAAGAGAAAGTGCCTAGCCATTGCGGCTATATAGCACTGGGAAGGGGTCAGGATAAGGATTTGGGATGGGACGCGGGAATGGAATGGTGCCCAACCACTTCGACGGTCGGCGATTGAACGTCGACCTGCACGAAGCGAGACCGTCGATCTACCGTCCAGCCCAAGTGGTTGGGGTGGGCGGTATATTCACAGGCTGTCTGTCCCCGACAAAATGAATTATTATTATATAAGTGAATTCTCAAAGTGTTCCACTTGCAGGGAATCCTCAGGCAAGGGAATAATTTAAAATCTATGGGAAAAAATTGGACCAGAGAACAAATGGAGAGGATTATATAATTTGTTTCTATGTTAAGCATATTATATAAATGTCCGTTTTCTGCAGAGGGTCAAAAACATTTAGTTTTGTATATATTTTTTAGGTCTAAAATACAAAAATACAGTTTTCTCTCATTGGCGGAATTAGCAGAAGAAAACGGGATTTTATCAGCTGTCGCGGGTTCCTACTGTCGTCACGCATAACTTTGTAGGTTAAAAATATCCTATTTTTAATAGTTCAGTGAAGTTTTTACCAGAGACAATTGGATATATTACAATGGAAGGCAACAGTGACGTCATATAAGGTAAGTACAAGGAAATTATGTTTATTTATGGGAAAATATGACAACATTCTCACTCAGTCCGTGGGACGGCAAGAAGCTCCCATTGTACACAAGTGTGTGTGGACCATAACTAATGAAGATTATTCATTTATGTTTGCTGATTTATGGCGAGGAGGATTTGGAGGAGCCTAAGACTGCTACAAGGAAGGTTTATAGGTTGGTGTATTTCATTATGCACCCTATACCCATCCTGTGGGCGGTATAAGGGACAATATCAGGACTCATTTAAGCCTGACACCAGCGGGGCGACACTGGCTATATTACTTGCCGGTTAAAACTACACGTGTTTGTCCACTTAACAGTGTTAATTCTGCATTGGACTATGTTAAATGTGTGTTGTTCCTCATCTTAAGAGGTTATCTTGAGATGATTTCGGGGTTTAGCGTCCCCGCGGCCCGGTCCTCGACCAGGCCTCGTGTTAAGAGACTGTGGTTGGGGTCGTTCTTGTACCCACTGTTCATACAATACATTAAACCATCTAACTAGCTTATCAAGACTGTAACTTGTTTAGTTAAATGAACTGTGGGGTTCGATCCCTGAGACCATTATGTCTCTAGCCTTTTCCACTACCGCCCACAGGATGAGTTTGGGGTCCACTACCGCCCACAGGATGAGTTTGGGGTCCACTACCGCCCACAGGATGAGTTTGGGGTCCACTGCCGCCCACAGGATAGGTTTTGGGGTCCACTACCGCCCATTGGATAGGTTTGGGGTCAACTACCGCCCACAGGATAGGTTTGGGGTCCACTACCGCCCACAGGATAGGTTTGGGGTCCACTACCGCCCACAGGATGAGTTTGGGGTCCACTACCGCCCACAGGATGAGTTTGGGGTCTACTGCCGCCTACAGGATAGGTTTGGGGTCCACTACCGCCCACAGGATGAGTTTGGGGTCCACTACCGCCCACAGGATGAGTTTGGGGTCTACTGCCGCCTACAGGATAGGTTTGGGGTCCACTACCGCCCACAGGATAGGTTTGGGGTCCACTACCACACATGGAATGGCTTATGGGTCCCACTACCGCCCACAGAATAGGTACGGGTGCATAATAAAGGAACTAAACTAAAAACCTAATAGTAACATTTCCCACAGTTGCGTCTATGTTAAGTGCTGCGCCCCTGTAGTAATTTGAAATTACAAAGAACAAAATTTTTTCCCACAGATAAATCATCATTAAAATATATTTATTACATGATAAATTTATTTATTACATGATTATTTATATTTTATTACATGATTATATCTGCCCGAAACGCTGCGCGTACTAGTGGCTTTACAAGAATGTTATTACTATGCTATGTATCCTCACAATCCCAATGTACCTTCTTTTATATAAATAAATAAATAAATAAATAAATAAATAAATGATGTATGTTATAGTGAACTTGCCACAGTAGCGCCTATCGTAGCAAATTCCGCGCCACTAACTTGCGAGCTGTAATAGCCTATCACATGTCATAACCAATACCTAGAATACAGGAAACATTGTCTCACTTAAGGGGTACAAAACATTTTTCCACGTTGGATTATATATTTGGATGTCATATAAATACTATTGAAAGAAAACCGAAAGTAATGGCATGTAGTGCTCTTAAAAATAACGTCGCGTTTCGCTCGTATGCGATCTATGGCCAAAAATGGACGTGATTTGAAATGAAATATCGGCTCTCGAAAGTGACGTACTGTCCCGTTGTCTGTTTGAGTCGTCTGGCTTACTCGGTTAGGTTAGGAGAGGAAACTTTCAATTAACGGTTTTCATGACGTTTTGAAACTTTAGGAGAATTTCCTGCCCTCCTAACCTACCAGAAGACCCTTAACTTAC